GGAGTCCTGGAGGGTGTTCTCTTGGGGTCTGTGGTTTATAGCAAAGCTGGTTGTGACAGTGGTGTGGGGCTGGGGGCCGGACCCTCGGCTGCCCCATGACCCTGCCTCCCACTGCCCCTTCCCCAGGAAGAGGGAAAACGTCTTATAGTCCAGTGCCTTGAACAGCACTTGTTTCTGACTTTGAACAAAGGCTCTGGTTTGGAGAAACGGAAGCCTGCCGCTGGGCCAGCCCACTGAGGAACTGTCGGCACTTCCCAGTGGGGTGAACCCGGGGAGCCCTGGAAGCCAGGCTGCTGAGGCTCCGTGGGGACACTTCACGTGACGCACTCTGTAAGCCACTCACAGCAGCCCCGCATGCCCACGGCCAGCCTGCAAGCCCTCCACCCTGCCACCCCGTCCCCGGGGCAAAGCCACACCAGCCGCAGAACCTCACCAGCAAGTTTATCTCCTATCCAAGGTGTGGCTGGGGGGCCACCGGTTACAGTTCATGATAAGAGAAGCAGACTTCAAAAAAAAACTTATGGTTACCAAAGGGGAAACTTGTGATAGGAGAGGGATAAATCAGGGGTTTAGGATTAACATGCACACACTGAGTTATTGCATGCGCGCTCAGTCATGTCCAACTCTTTGCAACCCCATGGACTGTAGCCTGCCGGGCAGCTCTGTCCATGGGATTCTCCAGGCAAGAATACTAGACTGGGTTGCCATGCCCTCCTCCAGGAGATCTTTCTGACCCAGGGATCAAACTTGAATCTTCTGCACTGGCAGGTGGATTCTTTACTGCTGAGTCATCGGGGAAGCCTATACACACTGCTGCTGCTGCTGCTGCTAAGTCGCTTCAGTGTCCGACTCTACCAAATTTAAAATAATTGGAAGCTCCCCTGGTGGTCCGGTGGTTATGCAGGGGGTGTGGGTTCAGTCCCTGCAGCTAAGATCTCATATGCCTCACAACCAAAACACCAAAACATAAAACAGAAACAATATTGTAAAAAATTCAATAAAGACTTTAAAAATCATCTACATTGAAAAAAAATCTTTTAAAAAAATAATCAACAAGAACCTATTGTACAGCACAGGGAGCTCTGCTCGGTATTCTGTGATAACCTATATGGGAAAAGAATCTGAAAAAGAAAGAATATATGTATAACTGGATCACTTTACCGGACACCTGAAACTAACACATTACAAATTAACTATACGCCAATGAAATTAAAAAAAAAAAAGCTAAACAGAGACAGAAGTAAAGCATTCACAAACTTTCACAGCAATTTGGCAGAGTGGTTTTATGTGTACTGAATCTAGATGTCAGGCGAGTGTATGCTCCTTGGTTCTTTGTCTCATCACAACAAAAATTTGGAGTGATGGACACTGAAGTCCCCTCGGCGGGTCACAGCTCTCGGAGGACAGACCATGTGATAGCTCTTAAGTAAATCAGTGTTACAGCTCTATTTATTTAGATAATAGCAGGAAAATCCATCTTCGAGGCATGAGGGCAGGTCGATCCAAAGACGCGAAGAGAAGATCGCCCCATCGCGCTGGAGGGAGAGAGGGGGGGAGGGGAGAGAGAGAGAGAGAGAGAGAGAGAGTTTTGGCTCTTCTTTTTATATGTTTCTCTGTCCCTAGGCCTGTTCTATGCAAATTGGGCTTAGGCAGGAGCGTTGTTTGTTTTATCTGAGGTTCTCATTCTGGTCCTCGGAACTTCCTTTGTTCTATTTTCGAGGGCTTTTCCCTTCCAGGTCTTTTAGCCACTGCCATTCTGGACTCCTTTTCCCTATTCTAACTACCTAACATAACGATAAAAAGTTATAACTTGTAATTTTTTTCTAGCTCATTTTTTCCTGGTAATTTATTTTTACTAGATTCTATAAGCTGGCAATTGGAGGGGGTTCTGGTTTTATGACCTGGGGGGCTCTTTATTATGGCAAATTTCTGGGAGCAGTTTTTCTCTCCTTTGTGATTGAAGGACTGTAGCCTTGCCTTCTCTGGCTCCTTCCCTGCCCCACTCACAAACTTGCATTTCAATATGGGGCATTTTTTGTGGATTTGAATAGGAAAATCTCACTGACATAGATATTCATGAAAGGCAGAATTCTTATTTCCATATGAATGCAAGCAGGCAGGAACCTCGGGCAGGCTGTTTGCAGAAGGATATTATCTCAGCTACTGCTCCGAGTGAAATGATGATGTATTTTTATGCTGATCCTTAAAAGTCAGGACGAACTCTTCCATTCGCGGGTAGAGGATGTTTCAGCTAAACTGCTTTAAGCAATAGTGTGTGTGTGAGTCCTTCTCTAAAGGGGCCGTCAAGGGAGCTGTCTCCTGTCCCTTGGCAGGCTCAGGAGGCCGCCCTCCTTCCTTCGTGGGTGGTGGAAGATTTTCTTCTAACACCTCAGTCTCCCGAGTTGGGAAAAGCAGTGACCACGTCCTAAAAACTTCCTGTTGCTGAACCATAGCAGAGGATGGCTCTTCTACGGGGAAGGCGCAGAAATGAATTGGGTCAACTCGAGACCTCATCTGGCTGTCTGACCAGCTCAGACCCCAGAGAGAACTGTGCTCTGAGGCGAGGGCAGTGGGTTCCAGATTTTATTAGAAAAGAATTCCCTGGGCATCACTTAGCAGCATGATTATATCAGTCTCATCCTGCCCTTGTTTATGCAATTTAGTGTCTAAAGAAGGACAGGGGCTGTGTGGCAGCAAGGAGGCCTGCAGTCCGCAGGGCACGAACTCAGGCAGCTGAGTCCTGGAGCCCAGGCAGGAGGGGAGGGTGATTATAGCCCAGGACAGGGAGGGAGGACAAGAAGGATATGTCCTGGGCTTGCAGGCCAGAGGCAGAGGAGGAGACAGGATGGGAAGAGCGGGAGGAGAGAAGGATGTGCTGAGTGAACTGTGCAGAACTATATGGAATCCACTTTTTGTTGTTGTTCGGTTGCTCAGTTGTTTCCGACTCTTTACCACGTCACGGACTGCAGTACACCAGGCTACCTGTCCTTCATTATCTCCTGGAGTTGCCTCAAATTCACGTCCACTGGGTCTGTGAGGCTATCCAACCGTCTCATCCTCTGTCATCCCCTTCTCCTCCTGCCTTCAATCTTTCTCAGCAGCAGCGTCTTTCCCCATGAATCAGCTCTTCGAATCAGGTGGCCAAAGTATTGGAACTTCAGCTTCAGCATCAGTCCTTCCAAAGAATATTCAGGACTGATTTCCTTTAGGATGGACTGGTTTGATCTCCTTGCAGCCCAAGGGACTCTCAAGAGTCTTCTCCAACATTTTAACAAATGGGAATGTTATCTTTCCTAGAAGGAAACCTACCAAGTGTGTAAGTTTCATTAACAAAATAGCAAACCTCCTTGTGAGGACTTCTGCATTCAGAAGAACCCTCACCTTGCCTCCCTTCCCTGGAGAGTGGGGACCATGTGCAGACTGGGGGCTGTCCCCGAGCAGGGTTGATACTGACCAGGGTTCTTGGCCTCCCATGATCAATACAAATTGACTAGAGGCCAGACAAGAAACCCAGGCAAGGCTTTATTGGAGCCCCTGCTACAGCAGTGGGAAGTGAGAGCAGTTAACAGGTTTCCTGACTGCTTGCTGCTTTCTTATTTGGGGTGAGGGGAGGTGGGGGGTGTGTGTCCGGGGCTCAGGCTAGAGGGGTGGCTCAGGTGGCTGCTCACCCCTTCGGTGGTGTTGAGTGCAGGAGCATGCTCAATCCTCCTTTGGCTCCCTGCTCTTCAGAAGTGGCGATTGGGTTTTTTGGTCTTTTTTTTATCTTTTGTCCAGAATTTGCCCCAGCTGCACACGCACACAGTTACTTTTAGTCCCTTATAGTTTCTCTGTGCTGTTTCTGGAGGAGAGGTTCGCCCAGGTGCAAACTCTGCAGCAAAAGGCCCCAGGTCCCAGCCCGTCTCCGGGTGACCCCCTCTCTGCTGGAAGTGGCCTCTGCTTCCAGCTGCAAAACCACAGACTGAATCCAACCCTGAGAAAACCAAGGGCACGCGCTCTCCCTGGAAGTTTTCTTTTTTGAATATAACAGCAATGTGAGCAGAAATAACTAACATTTTGCCTGAGTTTTTTTTTTTTAAACATTTTATTTCAAAGGGCAACAACTGAGGAAACAAGTGGCCAGAGAACAACCGGAGTTTGTCTTAATAAATAACAAGGCGCCACTTGCATCTCCTAAGCTCCTATAATACCTCACACATTTCAATAAATAAGTCCGCTCCGGTGCTGAGTCTCCGAGGACAGGCAAAGGTCTGCAGTATGGGGGGGACAGAGGGCTGGGCGGAGGACTGGCCAGTTTCAGCCCCAGGCCTGACCTCATGTGTCCTCCTGGCAATCCGTCATGGGGCCAGTGGCGTCATGGCCCTTGGGGCTCCAGCGACAGGAATCTCCGGGGTTCCGTGGTGGCCCGTCTGCCCTCCAGCCTGTCCAAAGTCTTTGATGATTTCACCGCAGTCCACCCTGGACCGTTTCTGGGTGGGCGAAGAGCAGGAGGAAGTGCTGGGGACACCCTTGGTCTGAGCTCCGCGTTGGTGCGAACGCAGGTGTCAGCTCTGTCCTTGCAGAGGTGTCTCTGCTGCCTGCTCTCCCACCACCTGCAGCGTCCCTCCTGTCCCCCGGCGCGTTCCTGTCATCAGAGCTCCACCTGCTCCAACATCAGTGCTGTAATACCTGAGAGAGACCAGGGCCGGCCTGGGTGCCACACCAGTCCTGGCCGCCGTCACTCTGGACGTGGAGCGGCCGCCCAGCGCCGGGAGGTGTCTGCTTGAGAGACTCAGTGGGTGGCAGCCAGCTCTGCCCATGGGCCCCCCTCCCGTGGCCCGAGCCCCATGGCCCAGCTGACACGGTACCAGGAATTCTCAAGGTAGCTTGTGTGTCTTTTCCAGGTGAATGTGCAAAAGGCAACGGTAAATCATTCTTTTCAACACAGGATCCTTTATTTAACTTTTTCTTGAAAAACAGTTTGTGAAGGATGGGCCCAGCCCTCCTTCATGGGACTCGAGGGCTCAGTGCTCCTTAAACCTGGAAGAGGAAGAAGAAAAAGCAGCTGATTACCTGGCCCGCAGCACTCAATTCACCGCCAAAGCGCAGAGCCCAGGTGCCCGCTTGTCCCCCTCTGCTGGGGACTCCTGAGGCCTCCCGTTCCCCCGGCTTGGGGAGAGGGGAGGGGACAGGACACGGGAAGGGGGGCAGAGCCAGGCAGAGCCTGGGAGCTGCCGTTTGTCCCAAAGCTGCAGCCCAAAGACAAGAACAACTGAATCAACTCCCCATACTTTTCACTCTATTTTGAGAGAAGATTTACCTGGATCGCATCCCCACCAGGTATTTATTAGGAAAGGAGAAATGAGAGTGAGTGAGGTGTAGAGTGCCAGGGACCATGGATGAGGTGTGGCAGTGGGCAGTAAGCGATGGGCAAGGGTGGGGTGTGAGCGGGGGGGACACTTACGGAACCTGGTCTCCTGTCGCTGACCCTGGGCAGCTCAGCTCCTTGTGTATGAGGCGAATCAGAAACTGCACATGCCCAAAGCAAAGAGAAGACCACATTATTGCTGGGAGACCCTGGGCGGGCGCCCTGCTGTCACTGGGGAGGGGCTGGCATAGCCACTCCCCACTCTGCCAGTCCCCTCTGTCCAACAAGCTCGGCATTCAAGTTCCAGTTCGTCATGTCTGCGGTTCCCTGTGTCACATGATGGGGAAGGGGGGCTGCCCCGTGCCTCTGAATGTAAAATTCTAAAGCAGAGCAGCGGGCGCCCCCGACCCTCACCTTAGGCACAGCTGCCTGCAGGCCTGGTCTCAGGGCAGGGCAGACGGTCACACAGTCCTGTGGTCACGGTGGAGGCCGTGCTCCTGGGAATAAGGCCCTTAGGCCAGATTTCAGCCAGAAGGATGCCTGTTTAAATGAAACTAGACCAGTCATAAAATATCCAAGGGGAAAAAAGGACAAGGCGACTCATCGTCACAGTGACACTGGGGGAACCGGGGGAGTCTGAGGCCAGGTGAGTGCTCACTGGCCACTGTCCCCAGAGGCCCCTGCCGCCCCTGGGGAAGCTCCCGGGACAGCTGGGCCCCAGCCCCAGGCCTGTGCTTACCCCGCGGTCTCAGGGTAGACCCAGAACAGCTCTGCCTTCATCTCTCTCACGGCCCTTGCCTGCCAAGACGGCGGAGTCCGTGTACACATCCCAGGGCGGTGAGGTCTTGCCCTCAGTGGGACCGTCTGCCGCTGCAGACCTAGTCTTTCTCTAAGTGCTGTGCCCCCCCCACCCCCGGGAGGAACCCCCACAATGTGAGTCGCTCAGGGCTGCGAGAGGGGCTCCCGAGGAAGTCCTGGCTCTCCTGGCCCCTCCTCTAGGGAAGCTGCAGGCGCCCCGAGCTCAGGAGGCCCCGGCAGTGGGGAGGCTGGAGGAGCGTTCGAGGGGCTCCTTCAATAAAACATGAGCTGCTAAGTGCCAGGTCTACCGGCAGACTCTGGGAGCAGAAATGTTTGTTTTCTTAGAGGATTCAGGAAGGAGCTTAGTCGTGCCTTGTATGGTGGCTCTGCAGGTTGAAGACAACGGGTGTTTCTCCTTGAGGACCGACCTACACGCGGGGCTCCTGGGATCTCGGTGGCCGAGCCAGAGGGTGGGGACTTGACAGATGCTCCAAGCAGTCTGGGTGGCTACGTCACACTCCGGCTAAAGACACCGATCCTGTGAACTTGAACCTCTAGACCCCACGGTCTAGCACTGCCTTGCTGAGTTTGAGCTGGAGTCTCCTCAATACGAATTCCAATATATGCAATATGTCCAATACGTACAAAACTGTAGCAAGGAGGGCCCGTGACCACAGAAAGCAGATCCTTAAGAGGACGGAGATGAGGAAGGACAAGTGAGCATTTGCTCTGGGCCGGGGTGCCCTGTGAGCCACAGCGACAATTCTGAAGGGCAAACACCAGCTTCTCAGACAGGACGAAAGTGGCCTCTGTGTGCAATGCCTGCAGTGAGTGGACCTGCCAGGCCCAAAGCCCACCTGGGTGGCCACAGCCCCATGGGACCAAAGTTGGAGACTGAGGAGCAGGCCCGAGGCTTGGGGAGCACGGCCCCCAGGTGTGAGTGCGGCCGGACAGCCCTCAGGTCCCCAGGGTGACCTGCCAGATCCACTGAGGTCCAGCCTCAGACCTGCAAGGAGGGGAAACTGGCTTGTGGCCCTGCAAAGAAAGGAGGCACGTCTGGTCTTTCAGGCTGAAGACATGTCCTCGGTGAGCCGCTGAGCCGCCTGCTGAAGCCCTCTCTCGCTCCTGCAGTGATTGCGGCTTTAGTTTCTCATCTAACCTGGCTGGTCCCGCAGTCTCAAAGTTATTATTTGCCTGTTGTGTGTGTGTGAGTCTTCCCTTTCGTCCTCTCTGTTTTGACATTTCAGGTGTGTCTCTTGTAGTCGGGGTGCGGGTTTCCAAGCCCGTCTTCTGTCAGCTGGTAGGGGCGCATCAGCCAGCCTGCACGTCTGCTTGGATCCTCCCCCGGCGTCCCTGGCATCCGGCCCATGTCTGCACATTGTCGCAGGAGCTGCTTTAGTTCTCAGCTCTTTTCAGAGAGTCCTGGTCTCTGCAGTCTCCTCCTTAAGAGTTCCTCCCGGACGGCACAGGGCCTCCAGGCTCTGTCTGCTCTCCAGTGTTTTCCATCTCTTCCTGGGCTGCATTCTGGATGATCTCCTTACACCTGCATCTCACCAGCTCTGCCTTTTTTTAGCTCTTGTTCTTTTGAATGAATTTGGTTTCTTCTTTGCCATCTTTAGTAATGTTTTCTTGTTTTTCTCATCTTTTAAAAATTGAAGTATGATCCCTGGGTCGGGAAGATCCCCTGGAGGAGGGCATGGCAACTCACTCCAGTATTCTTGCCTGGACAATCCCACGGACAGAGGAGCCTGGAGGGCTAAAGTCGGACACTACTGAAGCGAATGAGCATGCGCTCATGTAACTGGTTTACAATGTTGTGCCGGTCTCTGGTGTGCAGTAAAGTGACTCAGTTCATACACATATATTCTTTTTTTATATTCTTCTCCATTATGGTTTATCCCAGAAGAGCGAATACAGTTCCCTGTGCTATACGGTAGGACCTTGTTGTTCATCTGTCTTCTACGTAAGAGTTTGCCTCTTCTAATCCCAGACTCCCAACCCTTGCCTCCCACCAGTGCTCCTTCGCAACCACAGGTCTGTTCTCTGTGTCTGTGAGTCCGTGTCTGTTTCATAGACAGGTCATTTGTGTTGTATTTTAGATTCCACATATAAATGATATCATATGGTATCTATCCTTCTCTTTCTGACTCACTTCAAACTCGGTATGATGATCTTAGTGGTTTAGTTGCTAAGTTGTATCCAACTCTTTGCGACCCCATCGACTGTAACCCGCTAGGTTCCTCTGTCCATGGGATTTCCCAGGCAAGAATACCGGAGTGGGCTGCCATTCCCTTTTTCAGGGGATCTTTCTGACCCAGGGATTGAACCTAGGTCTCCTGCATTGCAGGCAGATGCTTTACCAAGTGAGCCACCAGGGAAATGCTAAGTATGTTTATTTTTAGATTATCTGGTGACCCTTTTACCCGTGTTTTTTTTTTGGGAGGGTCTCTCTGTTGTGCCTGTTACCCCATCACAGCAGACCGTTTCCTACTGTTTCCTGATTTGGGGTGTGAGCCTGTCTGCAGCGGGGTGACAGCTGTGGGACCCCGGGCCACTGGAGCGAGGTTTGTCTTTCTCAGTTGATTTGGGATTTGCTTCTGCCAAAGAACTGGGTATATCAGCATTCCGGGACCAATTTTACTCATTCTTTGTAATACTCATTTTAACACTCATTTTTTACTCATTTTTTGGTAATATTACATACTCATTGTGTAATATTTACACAATATAAGTTAAAAAGTTGAAGGTTACTGTAGGCAGGCCTGTGGCTAAAAGTTCTCCAGGATTTCCCCCCAGTCTGGGGAGCAGGCTAAGAAGTCGCAGATCCCGGTTCTCTTCTGGGCCAGTGTGCGTGTGTGTTTATGCTTTCACTGCACCCAGAGCTCCCTGAGGGTTCGCGCTTGAGGAGGGGGTCTCCACTTCCAGCTCCCCATCCTGGGCCAGCCCAGCACCTGGGGGTAGGGACCGTGGTGGGGGAGGTATAACCACCCAGCATCAGTTTGGGTACATATTTCATGTAGTCTCTACATTTCTGGGTCCTGGAGATGTCCCTTCCTTTCTAACGAGTTTAGTTGTGCAGTAAAAGGAAGTTTGATGTATATATACATATATATACACACATTATTTCTGAAATAGAAGAAGACTCTGTCTTTAAATAGCCGTAAGTATGGAAGTTTCACTGCTACCTGGCAGAAATGATCTAGGGGCTTAACTGAGGAACTGCTTTGCACACCTCACAGGTTCATAAGCTGAGAGCTGGTATCTGATTGTGTATAAAGTTGCGGAGCTGTGACTTAGGGCTTCTGGGAATGAAAATATAAACTTCCAAGGTATTCAACTCATTTGTGCTGGGGTAAACGTTCACTTTTCCAGGTGACTTGAGAGGATATGGTGGCTTCAGGTCTGGGCCTGGTGTGGGATGAGCGGTAAAGGTGAGCGTGGTGGCCGCTCTAATAGGTGGCTGCCGCAGGACTGTGCTGTGGGGACAGGTCTTCGCCATCCCCAGGAAACCCTCCGATCTTCTCACGCAGGAGGGGACAGGTCACGGGGCCCAGAGAGAGGAATGCTCAGTGCTGCCTGAGTAGCCCCAGCTCCTCTTCTGACCGGAGGTCCTTTGGGTGCGGGAATCAGGTGCTTCCCCAGCACAGCTGATGGCGGGCAGGAGGGATGCGGGAGAGGCCAGGGCACCGGGTGGGACTTTAATCCCCACAGCAACACAGTGATCCTGTTCCTGGTGTCCCCCTGCCGCCCACTTCACAGGTGGACGCTTTGGAGCAGAGGGGCTCAGGGACCACCAAGTCATACACGAACCCAACCACTCACAGCTGATGGGCTCAGGATCCGAGGCCAGGAAGCCCCGGCTCTTGACCTCTCGCCCATCCTGCTGGAAACTACCTGCTGCTACTCTGGATGCATCAAAATTGGAGGGAGAAAAAGCCCTGGGCCAGGAACACTGAGGGACACATCACCGGCCCAAAGTCCCCCGGGAGTGGCAGGAATCCGCAGGAAAGAGTGTCCCCAGCGTTTGACTGTGACAACCACAGAGACACTTGTGAAAGCCTTGGAGGAAAAGCTAGGTGACTCACCAGTAAGGCACAGGCGTCTGCGAACATGAGCATGTAGAACACGTTGTTCCATCCTGATGGGGAGATGAGCCCTGCCAGGAGCGGGCCCAGCGCTGCTCCTGGAACGAGGAAACGGACACATGTGGTGCTGTGTGCAGAGGACCCTGGACCGCGACCACCCAAACACCAGGGCCCATAAACATGAGAGAGTCCCCAGCACCTTACTCATAATTAACACACACACACACATACACACACACACATATTAAGGGGACTTCCCTTTGGTCCAGGGGTTAAGATTCTGTGCTTCCATTGCAGGGGCATAGGTTCGATCCCTGGTTGGAGAACTAAGATAATTCACACCGCCCCCTCCATCACAACAGCAGGAATGCTGGGGCACACCCCCATGGGTACTGGGGGTCTCCTCCTCCAGACCCCACTCAGACCCCAAAGACCAACAGTTTACACACTCCCCCATGCCTGCTGTGCAGAAAAGCCTTTTAATGAGTGATTAAGCTCCGTCTTAAACATGAATATACGAGGGGACAGCCAAGGTTCACTCGTATCAGAGGAAAGCCTCGACAAGAAAGAAAACAATCTGGTTTGAGGGGAACCTGGAGGAAATAAACAAACCGGGGAGAAAAACATTCTTAGGAAAGCGTGTCACACTCATGAGAACCAGAGAATGAAGTTGAAACGTGTGAAACCCCCTATGTCTGAAAACCATCTAACACCAGCAACTGCCCAGGATTCAACCTCACAGCACCGCATCCAAGAAGAAAGAACAGGAGGGATTAAAAGGGCAGAGTGACACCAACGAATAGAACACTGTGACAGTGAAGATAAAAAGTCAAGTGAGGAAGCGGGAAAGGAAAGCCAAGAGGCTCTCTGAGAAGACGGAGGAAAAGAACAAAGACACAGGCAGACAAAGAAAAGAGAGAACTGAAGGATGACTCCAGAAAGCTAAACACTGTCCGCTAAATTTTCCAGGAAGACAGTGAAGGAAACTTGTCAAAAACAGAGCACCGTTTCCCAGGGATCAAGGGCATCTGTTCCCAGGCTGGGTGGGTCCTGGGTGCCCAGGGCACAGGGGTGGGAGCAGGGATGCAGAGAGGCTGCAGAGATACAGGGAGCTGGAGACCTCTGAGGGGGAAGACCAGAGGTCAGAGATAGAGTTCTTGCTAAGGGTGACAAGAGGCTTTCCTGTGGTGATGACTGAGCCAGAAGACCCTGACTCTGGAGACAATTCTGGAGGGGCGTGTGTGGGCAGGCGACTATCATTTTGCATTTAGTACAGTTTCTAAGTTCAGATATTTCTTTAGATAGTTTCTAAGTTTAGACTGAGGATAGTTTCTAAGGCTATCTGGTTTCTCAAGTGATATCATGTGTTACTTCGAGAAAATAAAAATGAACTTGAAGAAAGTCAGGGCTCTAATGAATTGCATAAACATATAGAAAGAACCAGCTTGCAGCCCCTGGGGTGCAGTGCTCAACACTGTGAACACATCATACACATCAGCTGGAGTCCCTGAAACCGTCAGCTCCGGTGAATTGCAAGAAGGTGTTCCGCTCATGAGGCTTCCCCAACGGCTCAGCGGGTAAAGAGACCACCAGTGATGCAGGCGACACAGTGGACCCGGGTTCGATCCCTGGGTCGGGAATATCTCCTGGAGGAGGAACTGGAAACCCACTCCAGTATTCTTGCCTGGAAAATTCCATGGACAGAGGAACCTGGTGGCTATAGTCCATGCAGCCACAAAGAGTCGGACAAGACTGGGTAGGCTAGCACTTTCGGCTCATTTATAATCAATCAAACTCTGCCTCCAAAGGAACCAACATTTATGACAGTTAACAAACATCGGGGCATATGCCCTTGAGAACCGGAATTTTGCTGAAACTGTGTGTTCCCACTTGAGCCTTGCTCAGCTTGGGTGTCCTTGGGCAGCACTTAAGCAGAGGAACAAAGAGGCAGACGCAGTGGTGGACGAGCCTGCATGCCGTTTCCATGGCGACCACCTCCAGGGTCCTCGTGCACTGGGGCTGGCACAGCCTGGGGGAGTTCGAGTCCAGCCAGACCCTGACGCACGGGTGGGAGTGATGGCTCTGGATGGTCAGCACTGAACACAGAGGAGCGTAGAGGTTGAGGTGGTCTGAGTCGCCCCCTGCCGTCCTTCCGTAGGGGTGGGAGGAGTTCACAGCTGGGCTTTGGTTTCTCCTGCGGCTCAGAGCTGCCCTGGTGCATAGATGCTGAGCCTCCACCCTGGGCCAAGGACTTCTGCTTCCCTCTTGTTTTGGGAAGGAAATCAAGAAATACGTGGCCTGCCAGCTGCTTCATCATTTCCTCTTTTTCAGCCCTTCATCTTCTGCTTTAAAATCAGTCAGCACCTCCAGCTGAGCGCTGTCTGCTTTCAGAAAAGGGCGTCACAGTGGCAGCCGGGGCTGGCCTCAGACAGAGGGCTCTGCAGACGAAGCGGGGAGGATGCTGCGGGTTGCTCAGCCCCCAAGAACCGCGCTCGGCCCACGAGTCTCCTGATGACCTCACGTCTTCCAGCATGCAGAAGCTTTTCGTGTGCTGCGTGAGCCGGGATAGCAGGCTGGTGGGCCACGGACATCTGTCACATGACACGGCCCCGCCCCCACAGCGCTTTCCCCAGACTCCCCCCAAAGGCTGCAAGAGGAGCCCCTAAAGGGAATGGTCTCCCGGCAAACACTGGAGTGGTGACCATTGTCACAGTGCGGCAGGAGTAGGAGCTGGGGGGCCCTGTCCCCATGAGCGGTGAGGGCTGAGGGGGGCCCAGGCCTCTGTCCCCTGAGCCCTCACTTGCAAACCCAGCAGCCTGGACGGGAGACCTTCTCCCCACCCCCCAGACCTGTCTGTGATCTCCTGCCTTAGAGCCACCCAGCAATGCCCTCCTTGACCACTCTGAGCGCCCGCTCCGTCCTGGGAACCGCCTGGGGGTTGAGAACACAGCAGAAGACGAAACCAACCCCTCTCCTGGGGCTTCCCACCAGGAACAGGGAGAGGACAGTCCAGAGCAGACAGTGGACGGGCCCCGGAGCAGGGTAGGCCAGGAGAGAGGCCCTGAGTCTGGGTGGGAAGGGGTCTGCAGGCCCCAGACAAGGTGGGCCGAGGAGAGGCCAGTGTTTGGCAGAGCTATGCTCACAGAGCCACCTTTATCCAGCAAAGGCTTGTTTTACTGCTAGAGGGTGTTCCAGGCCCCGAGGGCCTGCCCCACCTGGCCTGCCCTCTCTCACTGCCCCCCTGGCATCAGGCACTAGTGGTGGGAAGGGACACGCCAGGATGCAACCTGAGACCTCCCGGAGAAGCCGTGAGGGCCACACCAGCCCACTTCCCGCCTTCAGTTCCAGGCTCCGCAGAGCACAGGTGGCCTCGGGGTCTTGGCAGGAGTGGTCCCAGAGTGCGTGCTCCCCAACTGAGCCTCGGGAAAGTTCAAGGACATCGCTGTCAGCTTCCTGACTCTCAGATCAGGACAGGCTTGCTGTCACCAGGTCCCGTGGGCCCAGCTCACAGGGGCCAGGGGCTTGCTTCACCCCCTTTCTTTCCTCAGAACACGCTGCTGTGTTCTCTCCAAGACCCCTGATGGGGCTGGTGACACTCGTCTCATGAGCTTTGGGACCCACAGCTCACCTGTCATTTACCTTTCAGTGAGATTCTATCTGAGCTTTCCAGGTGGCGCTAGTGGTAAACAACCTGCTTGTCAATGCAGGACATGTAAGAGAGAGATGCAGGTTCGATTCCTGGGTTGGGAAGCTCCCCTGGAGGAGGGCAGGCTACCCACTCCAGTGTTCTTGCCTGGAGAATCCCCATGGACAGAGGAGCCTGGCGGGCTACAGTCCATAGGGTTGCAAAGAATTGGACACAACTGAAGCGACTTAGCCCACATGCACTCACACAAGAATTCTGTCCCCCTTGAAATGGCAGTGATAAACAGTCAGCAGACCAGTGGCCTGTGGGCCAGTTTCCCCACTGGTGGTTTGGAGGAAAACCTGGGGCCATGTCCTCTCATGCTGAAGAAACCTTGACCTGCCAGCCACACACCACGTCTCCTCTGGCAGCCTCCCACCAAAGACGATCAGCAGGGCCAGCGGCTCACTTTCCAGGGCTGGCATGTGCTTTGCATCTGCTCACGTTTTAAGAAGGACTGGGACTTTCCTGGTGGTCCAGTGGTTAAAACTCCACACTCCCAATGCAGAAGGCCCAAGTTCAATTCCTGGTCAGGGAACCAGATCCCACAACTAAATGCCACAACTAGATGCTGCGACTAAAGACCCTGCATGCCATAACTAATACCTGGCACAGCCAAACAAATAAATATTAAAAAATAAAATAAAATAAAAGAAGAAGGCCAGCTGATCCTGGTAACACAAAAGCAATTGGAATCCTGGGTGTCTCCTAGCTAGATGTGGTCACATGATTTCCCCTTGGACCATGATAAATCTCCTTGGGCTAAAACATCCACGTACCTACAGACCCGGTTCCGTCGATGATGGCAGTCACGGTGGCCAGGGCATGGGAGTTTCCCTTCAGGCTTTTATGTGTCCCCTGGAGAAGAAGGAACATCAGTGTGAAACACACCCCAGCAATGGCAGAGTGCGAAATAAACTTACGCCTCCTGCACGACAATCCACCCAATCACTGTGCAAAGCAAAATGTAGGTTTTTTCCATTAGGAGATTGAAGCTCTACTCCAACCCATACTCATCTTGGAAAAGCATGCAAAGCTTCAAATGTTTTTAATAGTAAAAAACCTTCAGAGATATTAATACTTGTCCAAGTGCATTCTGGTTTCCCTGGTAGCTCAGACAGTAAAGAATCTGTCTGTAATACAGGAGACCCAGGTTTGACCCCTGGTTCGTGAAGATCCCCGGTCCCTACTCCAGTATTCTTGCCTGGAGAATCCCATGGACAGAGGATGGGACAGCCCTGGTGGGCTACAGTCAATGGGGGTCACAAAGAGTTGGACATGACTGACAGACTAACACTTTCAAGTGTATTTTAGTTAAAAGAACTCTTAGAATTCTCTTCAATAAACAAGTCTTTCCTTGGCACCATCACTGAGGCACCGTATCATCCAACATGGAAAATGAAAAGATGATTGGTGTTTGTCCTATCCCCAAGCTAACCACTGGAGCTGGCAGAAAAGATCGAGGTTGCTCGGGAGCTGGTGTGGGGAAGGGATGCTGGACAGACGGCTGATAAGCCTGGCCTCCCTCCCACAAGTCTGTACACGTGCAGGGAACTGCTTGTGGTTTTAAATAAGCTTTTAATTTAGAACAATCTTAGATTCACAGAAAATGTGCACAGAGATGACAGAGCAGTTACAAGCTCTGCACCCACTTTGCCCTGTGTTAACACCTTGTACTGTTGGGCTACATTTATCATGATGAATGACCCGATACTGATGCCTCACTCATGAAAATCCATGCTTTTTTCAGACCCCTGGCTTTTTATCTAGTGTCTAACTGAATCTGTGTCCCAGACGCCCACCCAGGACATTTAGTTCATGTGTCTCCCAGGGCTCCTCTTGGCTGTGACAGCTTCGCAGACGTTGTTTCTGGGACTTTCCTTGTTTCCCATGATTGGATGGGTGTGGGTTCTGGGAGGGAGACCACGGAGGTGAAGGACTGTGGGCATTACCTCTCACCATGCATCAGCTTGATGCCTCCCTGCTGGTGCTGACTGTGACCTTGGCGGAAGGCGGGGCTACTGGCTTTCTCCCCCGAGAAGTTACTTGATCCCCTCTCCCCACACTGTCCTCTGCAGGAGGACATCTCTGTGCTCAGCCCGCCCCTGAGGACAGGGGAGGTGGGCTTCCTGCCCCCGAGCAGAGGACCTGCCTACGCCCTTCTGTACAGGACACTGCCTCTCCTCTCCCAGTTATTTATGGACACTACTTCCTATCAGGGGACTTTGTACTTCAGTGCAGTGCGTGTATCCTGCGATGTCCACACGTGGCTCCCATGTGACATGTCTTGTCTTTCCTGTCAGGTAGATGAGACGGCCCTGCCGCCTCCAGGTCCCTCTGGCCTGGAGTCAAAGGTCACCTGTCAGGAGTGCTTCCTCCTGGAGCCCCTGAGGATCCCCAGGCCTAGGGCAGCCCCGCATGGAATTCACCACCTTGTGCAGTAAACATTTCTTTACTACACTGGCCTCCTCTCTGGAGCATGTCCTCCCAGAGCCAGGACCCCGCCTGGCTTGTCCCTGCAGTCCCCAGGACCAGCCAAGGGCTGGGCACAGTGGGACTCCCACGGCAGGCTGGACTCTGCTGAGGCCCTAAGGGTGGGCTCCAGGAGTCACGGCCACTGGCTTCCAGGGCTGCCAGGGTGGCTCAGAGGAGCAAGTCAGACGCTGGCATCAGGCCTTGGGCCACTGGTTTATAGGACGGGGCGGCCATGTCCCCTTATCTGCTTCAGAAGACTCTTAGGATCCTTACTGGCCGTCTGGACAAGAGCGCTCATAGAAACAGACCGTCTCACTATCAGAGACCACCCATCACAACAGTTGTGATGGAAGAGGTGGCCGCCCGCCAGCATCTGGCTCCGGCTCTGTAATGAGCTTTGCGTACTCACCAGGTCGGCGGACACGGCAGTTGTGATTAGTGCGTACGGCCCGCTGACCAGGGCCCCGCTGAGGAGCAGCATGGCTGCAGGAAACAGAGACCAAGAGGGGGAATCAGCCAGCAGAACAGACCCCTGGGGGAGCATCCACCATCTAAGCTTCTCCCTTTTGGGCATCTTGGCATTGCATGCTGGCCCTGCCCTGAGCTGGACAGGGGCCGGTCCTGGGAAGATGCCCACACCACCAGGGAGTGGCCATGGCTGGAGCAAGCGTCATAAACATCTTCCGTTAAACTTGCCCCGAGGTGGTTGTAGGTCTAATCACACTTTTCCAAAGACTCAAACCATGTTCAGAGAACCTGGCCCCTGTTTCCTTGAACCTGGAAAGCAGAAGCCGTGCTGAGAGGAAGTGAGAACCCCGACGTACGAGCACAGACGTGACCACAGGCGTGATGTGTGTGACCACCTGATGCTGCCACCACCACAGCCTCACCTGCAGCAGACAGGACTTCCTCTCTTTGCCCACAGCCTCTGACGGCCACTCCCAGGAAACCTGGGGCCCCAGCATAGCTCAGTCCCCGACGGGTGGGACCACCGTGCCCATTCCCGAAATGGTCTCCTAACCTGACCCCAGGTTCACTTTCCCGAACCACCCTCTGGGTCACATTGCTCTTTGTGGAAGCTCCTGGACTAATGGGTCATTTCATGGGCCCCTTGCGTCTAGAAGTTGCCCTCTGGGTAACTTTTAATGGCATCCCTATCAATCCCCTTTGCTGGGTTGTGAGACCAAAAGAAGCATTTTCTTAGTGTCAGAGCCTTAATGTGATAGAGCTGCTGGTGAAAAGTTAAAAACAGAGACTGTGCCTAGTGGCAGCTGGCAGCAGCTCAGAGGGGAGGCCGCCCCTGGGCTTGTGATGCTGGGGGTGCAGAAGTGGGGACCACAGCTCTGCCTGCTGCCTTCCAGGGGATGTGGGCTTCTCTGAGTGGCTCCTGCACTGGGCACCCAGGACTTCTCACGGGCTAGCCCCGGGACCTGCACTCTCCCACACTGGCCCTTAAACCTGCGGCCTCAATTCTGCAGGCAGGATCCCCAATGGCTCCTCTGAAAGTACCCCCTCTAAGGAGGAACACAGGGATGATTTTAGCCACAGTGCACAAGCTGCATCTTTGCTTCTTTGCTGATTTTTCAGTTCATCTTACAAAGCTGTGTGGACCAAAAAAATGTCTGAAGGAAAGAAAGACCTCATAGACTCACCTATGGTGGCTTCCAGCCCCATTTTGCTGATGGAGGAGAACGCGTAGAGCTGTGAACGGTGTCAAAACAGGAGACGAACAAAGGTTTACTATGAGTAGCTGAGAGATTTCCCAGGAGTGTGTATTTCTGAAAAGTGATTCTCGGGCAGCAACCAGGCAGTGGAAGGAAGGCCATGCTGCCCTGGCCGGCTGTCCAGAGACAGGCGTCCAGATGTTCGCAAACTGTCCCCAGGCTGGACACAGACATGTAGGGTCTGATCACCCAGTGAGCTGGAAACCGGGGAGCGCCTTGCCATGAGCTCCTGGGGGAGGACCCTGGGTTTGGAGCAACTCTCCCCGAGCCCCATGTCCCCTCCTGGGCCATAATCCCTGAACGTCAGGGCCCGGTGAGGGGCCCTGGTGAGGGGACCCCAGTCAGTGCTTCTGTGTCAAGGTTCTTGGAGTGTCTGTGCTGGGCAGTGTCCAGGGCCCCAGGGCGACTGAAGACTGGGTTCTGTTCAGCCCAGTGGGGCGGCAGATGGGCAAAGGAGTCAGTGCAAGTTCATGAGCAATAATACTACGTATGATGTTGTTGCGGAAACAGTGATGGTATAACCATGTTCCCCTTGACCCTCGCCTTCACCCTGTGAGGTGCTGCTGCCGGCATCCTCATTTTTCACTTGAGGAAACTGGGGCTCAGAGGGAGAGTCATCTGCCCAAGGTCATACACAACTAAACACTTGAAAAGCAATGGAACGTGGGTTATGAGGGGAGGGGTGGCGCTCCCTGGAAGCGGGTAGGACAGCCACAGTGGGGGTGCTACAAATGAGCAGGAGCCTGCTGGCGGGAGGGGAGCTGGGGGGAAGGGCGCCCCGAAGAGAACAGCCCACACATGCACATGTGAAGGCAGGGAGGAGGGAGAAGCCGCGCTGGTGCGCAGCGTGCAGGGGGCTGGGTGTGGGGAGGCTGAGTGGGGGACACTGAGTGGGCTGGAGGTGACACCAGGCCCAGAAACCAGAGCCCTGGGAGGAGCTGCGCCGGCAGCTGCAGGTGTGCGGGTGGGAGGACAGGGGGGCTGTTCCGGAGGTGCGGGGGCCGTGACGAGGCAGAGGGGCTGCCGGGCTTACCGTCGGGGCCGCGAGCAGCAGCATCAGGCCGCAGGTGGAGGCCCTTTTCTCCAGGCGATCGGAGATCACACCTGCCAGGATCCCACCTGCAAGGCAGAGGGTGGGTCCTGAGGGCTGTACGTGTCCGACGGGGCCCCGTGGAGAGGAAGCAGGGCCCGCCCTGCCGCAGCAGCAAGGAGCGGAGGACCTCTTCCCTAGGCCCTTTCCACCCCTTGAGCAGGTTGGCCCCAAAGCCCCTTTGCCTGGGAGCATCCTAGCACCACCAGTCTGTCGCCCACCAGGTATCCTGGTCCCCAGGGAGCCCAGGATGGGGAGGGACCTGCTATCAGAGACCAGGCACCGAGGGCCTCCCAGGAGGAAGTCAAGTCAAACAGCATCCAGGCTGAGGGTGTCCATGCATCACCTCGGTGGTGAAGGCTTTTGTCAAAGTAGGACAAGAGGAAACGAACTCACCGAAGATCCCACCCACGTCGAACAAGGTGGAGAGCTCCCCGGCCTTCTTGACATCAAGGTGATCTATTAGAATGACAGAAGAGTGTTTAAAGTGATAACCAAGAAGGACCTATTGTACAGCACAGGGAACGCTGCTCAATGTCTTGTGACAGCCTGGATAGGAGGGGAGTTTGGGGGAGAATGGATACATGTATATATATGGCTGAGTCCCTTTGCCGTTCACCTGAAACTGTCACAGTATTGTTAATCAGCTATACTCCAATACAAAATTAAAAGTTTAAAAAAAAATGATGGCAGAATGTCACCGTGAGAAGGCCGCAGCAGTGTACAAGCCACACACAACATTCTTTTGTTTCACAAAGCATGATTTAAACCAAGCAGCAATTATGAGATCCATGATCAGATTAGCGGAGAAGGCAATGGCAACCCACTCCAGTACTCTTGCTTGGAAAATCCCATGGACAGAGGAGCCTGGCAGGCTACAGTCCATGGGGTCGCTAAGAGTCACGACTGAGCGACTTCACTTTCACTTTTCACTTTCATGCATTGGAGAAGGAAATGGCAACCCTCTCCAGTGTTCTTGCCTGGAGAATCCCAGGGACAGCAGAGCCTGGTGGGCTGCCGTCTATGGGGTCGCACAGAGTTGGACACAGATGAAGCGACTTAGCAGCAGCAGCAGATCAGATTAGTATTAAAACAGTAATTATCAGAGTAGATGGAAAAAAAGGAATGCACTTTGTGGGCAGACACACAGGAAGTGTGAGAGATGAACCCTCCTAACCAAAAGGTAAGGGTTCACCTGGTTCTGCCTAGGTGTCACCCTGCCTTTGCCGGGGGTCCCCTCAGGGCAGCTGCGAGGTCAGACTCAGGGATGGGGGCCATGGCCTGGGGAAGGGCTGGCCCATGGGAGCCCCTTCACACAGACCATATGACTCCCCGGCTTTCAGACATGGGAGGGGCTGGAACCTTCTCCCCCAGAGAAGGAGGCCGAGGTCTCAGGATGCTCAGTGCAGTACTCTGTGTCCCCAAACCCCACCTAGACTGGGTCTTGGCTGATGCTGGATGGTCCCCTCGCTGCCTCCGACTCCCATCCTGAGAAACTCTGCCCTCCTGCCTTGGGCTCACGTCCTTCTCTGCTGGTCCTTACAACACTGCTAGCGAAATGGAGCAGGACCTTATGGTCCTTCCCCCACCCCGTGTCATCCACCTGTCTTCTGTCTGTTGAAAAGCTTAAGCCAAAGAGTAAGTTTAATCTTACTTAAAGGGCAGTGAGAAAACACAGAAACAAAAGAACACAGTCAAATGAGACCAAACAATAATAATGTAGCTATTAAGCAAAGTCAAGGACCTCCTCAAGGGCTATAGATAATATCGGGGCCATCTCCTGTGAGCTCTCTTATAGACACTGAAACCCCCACCAGGTGGAAGAAGTTAACTGCATGATGACCAGGCTATAGTTGTGACACAAGCTGCCACAGTTCCAAGAACCAGACTCAAGGACACGGGAACAAACCGATCCTGGAACTGAAGATTCAGTTCTGTTCAGTTGCTCAGTTGTGTCCGACTCTTTGCGACCCCATGAACCGCAGCATGCCAGGCCTCCCTGTCCATCACCAACTCCCGGACTTCACCCAAACCCATGTCCATTGAGTCGGTGATGCCATCCAACCACCTCATCCTCTGTCATCCCCTTCTCCTCCTGCCCTCAATCTTTCCCAGCATCAGGGTCTTTTCCAATGAGTCAGCTCTTTGCATCAGGTGGCCAAAGTATTGGAGTTTCAGCTTCAACATCAGTCCATCCAATGAACACCCAGGACTGATCTCCTTTAGGATAGACTGGTTGGATCACCTTGCAGTCCAAGGGACTCTCAAGAGTCTTCTCCAACACCACAGTTCAAAAGCATAAATTCTTCGGCGCTCAGCTTTCTTTATAGTCCCACTCTCACATCCATACATGACCACTGGAAAAACCATAGCCTTGACTAAACGGACCTTAAACTGAAGATTAACTGAAGATTAACTGCACTGAAAACAATCAAGATGACCCTGGTCAGACCACCAATGACCAGTATCCAGATGACTGTCAGAGCTGACTGTGCTGTTTCTGCATGTAGCCGCCCCCCCGCCTCCATCTATAAAAGCTCTTGCCCACTGGCTGGCCATCAATGGGGGGAAGTTGGCCTTTGGACAGGCAACCCCCCCGCCCACCCCACCCCTGTTGCCAGCATCCAAAATAGAACAAACTTTCCTTTCCACCAACCTTGCCTCTTTATTAGCTTTTGAGCAGTGAGCATCCCCACCCCGCTTTCAGTTACACTGGGGACACATGGTCTTTGCTCTGGAGCCCCCACGTCCCAAATTTCTCCTCTTTTCACATTCACTAGAGCACGCACCTCCCAGGGACCCTGGCTTCTTTGCTTTGTCCTCGAAATCCCTGACTCTGGGGCCCAGAGGCCCTCCTGACTGTCTGGATCCCTGTTCAGTTGTGGCTGCAGCCCACACACAGGGACCTCTCCTCTGAGAACTGCTGGTCCTTCCCATCTTCCCCTGCGGTCAGCCCAGGACACAGGGTATGTGTTACTACAAATGGGTCTGCTGTGTAGCAACCTACAGCTTTAGGCCCTGCTAGACTTCTGAAATGCAGGACAAGCTGTCTGCTCCCCCGGAGTCAGAGCTCAGCTCCAGGAAGTGATTTTCAGGTCAGTCATGAAGGCTGTATTATCTGAGATCCCCAGGGCCTCTCTCCCTGCTCACCAGCTGCTGTGACCAAGTCAGATGCAGCCTAAATTTAAAAGCAGGCTGCCCCAGATAGGAAGCCCCCTGGGTAACCAGTAGCCACAGCTGGGGTACACCATGTCAACCCTTTAAACTCCATCTAGGTTCTCATCATGGCAATAAAACATTCCTATCTGAATTCTCTTTGTCTGTGCTGTTCAGTTGCTAAGTTGGGTCTGACTCTTCGCGGCCCCACGGACTGCATCATGCCAGGCTCCTCTCTCCTCTCCTTTCTCCCAGAGTTTGCTCAGATTCTTGTCCACTGAGTTGGTGATGCCATCTAGCCATCTCATTGTCTCCACATCTACCTCTCTTTGTCTACACGTTTCTACTAATCATGCTATGTGATTCAAGAGCATCATGCATCTCTCTCCTTCCCAAGTTTATAGACACCGGTGGATAAAATGGAGGCCTGATCACAGCCCTTGCACAGGACTTCCCAGCTGTGCTGCTAGCAATGGTACTCACCTACACTTGTGATGTAGAGTGGAAGCCAGAAAAGGAATGTGTAGCTGACCAGTTTCGCAAACAGCAGACACAGAGAGAATTCTATCACACCCTGAAAGAGAGGGAGGGACAGAAGACGGACCTTGGCCCATGATCCCCTAGAAATGGAGCGATGTTCTGACAAGTGAGGATTTGTAAGCAGCTTTTGGCAGGGAGGAGCTCTCTGCAGGAGGCCCCTTTTGTCTTGTCACTTTAGCAAAGCTATAACCTGTTGTTATTGGTGTTGTTCAGTCCTAAGTCATGTCCAACTCCTTGGACAGTAATCTGCCAGGCTTCCCTGTCCTTCACCATCTCCCAGAGCTTGCTCAAACTCATGTCCATTGAGTCAGTGATGCCATCCAACCATCTCATCCTCTGCTGCCCACTTTTCCTCCTGCTCTCAACCTTTCCTAGCATCAGAATCTTTTCCAATGAGTCTGCTCTTCACATCAGGTGGCCAAAGGATTGGAGCTTCAGCTTCAGCATCAGTCCTTCCAATGAGTATTCAGGACTGATTTCCTTTAGGATGGACTGGTCCTTGCAGTCCAAGGGACTCTCAAGAGTCTTCTCCAACACCACAATTCAAAAGCATCAGTTCTTCAGCGCTCAGACTTCTTTATGGTCCAACTCTCACATCCACACATGACTACTGGGAAAACCATAGCTTTGACTATATGGACCCTTGTCAGCAAAGCAACGCGTCAGCTTTTTTAATATGTTGTCTAGGTTTGTCATAGCTTTTCTTCCAAGGAGCAAGCGTCTTTTAATTTCATGGCTGCAGTCACTGTCCACTAGATTTTAACTAAACTTAAACCAGTCACTCGCATACTCTACTCATTTCTGGCCGGGGCCAGATCTTTCAAATCTTTTGCTCACACAATACTTTGCCTAACTGGTCAGTTCTTTCCTAGATCAAAGAAGTAAAAATGAAGAATAAATAATTAACAGATGACCAGATCTCCTCCTTGGCTTCCCCTTCAGTAATCTTACAAGCAAACTGTGTGAACAATATAGCATCTGGAGGAAGATCACAAAGAGTCGATAAGCCTGCAGGCAGTGGGAGTGATGATAGCCCTGATCCTTCATCTTAGTGATTAACCGAGATTACTCTTTTTCTCTTTAAAAACTTTTGTGGCCTCTTCAAAGTTGATTTTGGGGACACAAGTCCTCCCCCCTGATTGCTGGTACTCTGGTTAAAGCAACTTTCCTTTCTATCAGCATTTGCTTCTCAAGTGTTGAATTCAAGCAGTGAGCAGTTGGACAGTGATACCCAGAAGAGAAATGTAGATTCTGATGAGGAAACTGAGATTTGGGGTCTCATGGCTATTGAGAAATGCTTATAAGTTCCATTTTGTGTCTACGTTTAGAAAGAGGTGGCCCTTGTGAGACAGCAAGTCCAGGTGTCACTTGGGAAATGAGCGTGAGAAATCGGGTAGCACTGAGGAACCGACCTCTTGGCTGCTTCTCCCAGGCTGTCACAGTGCATAGCTATGAACACCCTTCAAATCCAAGCAGAGGACACAAGATGCAATCCATGCCAGTGCTCTGGAAATGAGACAAAGTTTTCACAGCCACACCCAGTATGGGAGGCGTGTGTAATGTACTTCACGCTCACCAAGTGTGTGGCCTTGTGCCTACTGTGCAGCTGATGACCTCATCTGACCCCGAGGACAGCACTAGCTAGTTGTGCAGCCGCCGAGCCTGCACTACAGTGAGGGAGCAGAGGCCTAGAGTGGCGACCACCTGCACCTGGCATGCCCAGCCTGCCTGTGGCAGGGCCAGGCCAGGGCTCTGAAGGCTGTTCTTGCCTCCACCCAACTTCTATTAACGGTGGGCACCTTAATTTTAGCAACAGTATTTGACCCAGCTACACAGTAAAGTAAGAACAGAAAAGTCACTACTTGTTATTAACAACATTTAAAAAATAACTTTTATTTAGAACTAGCATCTCCTCCAGGCCAAACCCCCAGAGATCTTTGTTAGGGACTCTGGAGAGTCTTCAATGTCCCCTCTGGCGGGAGACCAGCTCCCGGGTCCTCAGCAGCCCAGTTTCATCTGGGCGCTGGCAGAACTTTCTGTTTAAAGCAGCAGTTCTCAGTTCCTTCACTGTGTGCCATGATGCTGAGGATCTGGGTGCACTGTTGGGTTTCGAGCTCAGCACAGTTGCTATGGAGCCTCTGGGTTCCCTCTTCCAATTCTCCCCGAGGCCAGCATGAGGGAAGTGCCCTTGCCTGTATCTGTTCCCCTAAACAGGCACCCAAGGGTAGGAGCCAGGTATTCTAGAGTGTGGCCCCCAGGGGCCAATGTGCTCTCCCCCTCCTCCCCTCTCTGCTCTCGGCTCCCTGCCTTTGTCCCCCTCCACAGCTCCATGTCAGAGGAACACAGTTGCTCCCAGGCCTTTGCACAGCTCCCAGGATGCTCTGCTCTGGGAGTTCATGGATTTCACGTCCATCATATACATATGTAATATATTTTATAACTATTAACAGGTGAACAAAACACTGTGGCCTTATTCAGCCTTGAGCTGATCTGCTTGCAATTCTGGTTCATGCTATGGATTTCTATGGGCTTCTCAAGTGGCTCAGTGGTAAAGAACCTGCCTGCCAATGCAGGAGACACAGTTTCGATCCCTGCGTCAGGAAGATCCCTTGGAGGAGGAAATAGACACCCACTCCAGGATACTTGCCTGGAGAATCTCATGGACAGAGGAGCCTGGCGGGCTACATTCCATGGGGTCACAAAGAATTGAACAAAACTGAGCCACTAAGGACAGCACTTGGATTTCTAATGTATAGATAACATGATCATGGATTTCTCTTTTTAAACTTATCAACAGCCCAGTGTCTGTTCACAGCATTATGTGTAATTTATAGTAAATAGACACTCTTCACTGTTCACAAATGCCCCCTTTTGAGAGAGTCATGTACTCACGGGAATCTTCAGAGCTCCTGTGAAGCTGATGGCTGCCATGCCGCCCCCACCGTCTGCCGGGAGGATGACCACGTGGTTCTGGTGGCCAGAGTGTTTCCCATCCGACAGTAGTAGACGCTGCATCTCTGGGTCCTGGAGACGAACCCCACAGAAAAAGAGAAAGGAAGAGAAAAAACATGTTATCAGGCAGTCAATTTGGGAGGTGGGTATGCCTTGGGTAATGTCCTCACATAGCCATTGCTTTACGGCCATCAGCATCCATGTGGTTTTGGGAAACAGTAATGAAAGACATGCAAAATCTTTTGACTCAACTCTAGGACTCCATTTGCGAAAAATACTTTTCGAGGTAGAAAAATACTTATATGATAAAATTAATGTCACACCATTATTGAGAAAAATTGCTAAAGTACATCCACATAAAAGACATACGCTGCAGTTTAAAAAAAAGCTTGTGAGATTTGAAGACATGAGAAAGTGCTTATGATACATTAAGCAATAAAACATCATTCAAAAGCATTTTCATTATGCTCTCATTGAATGTTTAAATATAAACCTATTTTAGTAGGTTAACTATTGGATTTATTTATAGGGAAAAAGAAGCTAAACTCTAAACTGACAATGGTTATCACTCAGTGGTAGAATTATGTGTGAAAGTGAAAGTTACTCAGTCCTGTCTGACTCTCTGCGAGCCCATGGACTAGAGTCCATGGAATTCTCCAGGCCAGAATCCTGGAGTGGGTAGCCTTTTCCTTTTCCAGGGGATCTTCCCAACCCAGGTCTCCCACACTGTAGGCAGATTGTTTACTGAGCCATAAGGAAAATCCAAGAGTACTGGAGTGGGTAGCCTATCTCTTCTCCAGTGGATCTTCCTGACGCAAGAATCAAACTGGGGTCTCCTGCATTGCAGGCGGATTCTTTACCAACTGAGCTATCAGGGAAGCCCCAGAATTATGTGTAATTTGCATGAAATGTCAGTTAATTTTTTACACGACCCTGTATTTTTTAAGAAGTTCACAAAGGACATACATGATCACAAACAATATTATTTTAAACTTCATAACCTTCCAATATTTCATAAATTTTGATTCTGGACATCCTTAAAGTTTATCATCATTAAAGCAAAGAACTCAGGGTGGGACATCAAGTCAGAGCAAGAATGATTGACAAATGTCCTTCATAAAGGCACTGTGAAGGTCGAAGATTTAAAAAGAGATGTTTCTATGTACTCCAGACTTTCCACATAATCAAACAGGTTTTATTGATTTATCTCACCCACTCCAGTATTCTTGCCTGGAGAATTCCATGGACAATGGAGCCTGCCAGGCTACAGTCCATTGGGTCACAAAGAGTCAGACATGACTGAGTGATTATCTATCACTCACTCACACTATAAACTGTGCAAGCTATATTCAAAATGCAGTTAAATTGAGAAAAAAAACAAGAAAATGACAAAGCATTGCCACATCTCTTTCTTGATATCAGAATTCTCTTCTGGTGGAGAACAGAAATTTGGAAAACAGGGTGGCAGGTTGCAGCACTGGCAGCCCCTCGGGCACTGAGCACCCAGCACCTCCCTTCTTGGCTGTGTCACTGAGAAGACTGCCTCCCGCCATGCATGGCTTGGACATGGAGAGCTGGCCTCTGGTGAGCATGGTCACAGTTAACTATGTGCTCTGATGTTCCAGGATGCAGATGACAAGCCCCGGTTTGGAATCAGAGCATCCTCCTGAAGACAATGCCACAGAGGTATATGAACACAGAGACCCTCTATTTGAGTTTGGAAATAAAGTTCTCTCTTGGGAATTACAGCTGTCCTGTGTGTGTGTTAAGTCACTTCAGTCATGTCCGACTCTTTGAGACCCTATAGTCCGTAGCCCACCAGGCTCCTCTGTCTTTGGGATTCTCCAGGCAAGAGTACTGGGGTAGGTTGCCATTCCCTCCTCCAGGGATCTTCCCAACCCAGGGATTGAACCCGCATCTCTTACATCTCCTGCATTAGCAGGTGGGTTCTTTACCACTAGCACCAGCTGTCCTGTGTAGGAAACGAAATCAATTGTTCTCAACCCTGGCATCTCCTGCGGACTCTGAGAGACCCCAGTGCCCAGGCTGTACCCTAGACCCAATATAGCAGTCTTGGGGAAGGACCCCAGAGAGCCGTTTGTGTCATTAGGGTGAGAACTGCAGGATAGACTTTTTTTTTAAACACTGAATGTTCTGACAGGTGGACCATGAAATGCAGCCAGATAATGAGAAAAAAGGAAAAGAAAAGACTGCTCAGCCAGGAGGGTAGTAATCACAGGTCCAGCACTGAAACCCACCTGGTCGCAGCCCAGGGTTGGCACTGACCCTTCCTTGTTCAGAACACTGCGTACAGTATTCTGTATACTGGGTTCAAAGCCCCAGTCCAGCCCTTCTGCCCTAAGCCGTGAGGAGCCCCTCAGGCCAGGGGAAGCCCTGTCTTCATTTAAGATAGGCCTCCTGCCCACACCTGCTCATCCTCTAGGTGGTTCCATCCTCCCAAGTCCAGTATTTTGCAGTGTCTGGAGGAGGGATCAGTGAGGTCATGGGAGAGGTTTCCAAAGCGAACCAGGAAAGCAACCTCTTGGGAACCAACAGAGACCTGCTGGGGGAACTGGGTACCGGAAGCGGTGTGCCTGGAGCCCCCAGGGCATCTGCTGGGACAGAGAGCCCTCAGTGGGCCCGGGGCTCGTTCAGCCAAGGACCCGCACTCTGAGGTTTACACATTCACAGAGCAAAAGGGCTCCATGTGATGAAAGCAAAACACACACAGGAGTTTACATGAATGATGGCTCAGCCCAGCCTCAACCTGTGCTGGCCCCACGAGCAGTTGTCGGATGGAGTAACCTTTACTTCTGTTTTTATTAAAGAATTTCTTATTGGAGTATAAATGCTTTACAATGTTGTGCTAGTTCCTTCTGTATAACAAGGTGAATCAGTTGTATGTATATGTATATATATCCCTTCCCACTTGGACCTCCTTCCCACCCCACCCCCAATCCCATCGACCTAGGTCATTAACCTTTCGCATCTAAACACCCACTCAGCACTCTTTAAGTGGTTGCTGAGCCACAGCCCATTAGAAAGACCCTCAGAGGTGTAGGAGAGAGTTGGATGGGAGTGTGGGATGAGCAGATGGAAACTGGAATATATAGAATGGATAAACAAGGTCCTACTGGAGAGCACAGGGAACTATATCCTGTGATAAACCACAGTGGAGAAGAATATGAAAAAGACTGTGTTAACATATGTGTGTATACGGAGTCACTTTACTATACAGCAGGCAATTAACACAGCATTGTAACTCAACTATACTTCAATAAAAATGAAATTTAAAAAGATAAAAACAACAAAAAGTGGAAAGAATTGTCAAACAAAAGGCCCTCAGAGAAGCCAAGGATGACAAAAAAAGACACATAGCTATAAGGAGGATGAATGCCAACCATCCCCAACATGACATCATGAAAACCCTCAAGGTTGGAGGCCGGTCACCACATGGCAAGTGATCCCAGAGCCTCTTCCTCTACCCACGTTCTCGTCCTTGCCCTACCCCCTTCTTTATGATTTTTCCATGAAGTCGTTAAGAAGCACACCTGGGGCAGAAAAGGATTAAGCAGCCCCGGCTGAAAAACCATCGTGGTCAGGGGCCTGGGTAAGGCTCAACTCTGAGCTGGCCACTCTGTGAAAGGGGGCCCCAGGGTGTGCTGTCAAACCTGTGACACATCCTGCCTGCTGACCCGAGAGCCACCTCCAGTGTGTGAGCTCTTCCTGCGACAGAAGCGGGGGGACCAAGCCTGACTGGTGCGCTGGGGCCAGCTGAAAGGAGACGCCCTTCCACCCTGGCCGACACCTGCCTGGTCACGTCCACATTAAGGTCAGCCTGAAACAGGACCTACTGGGGCCTCGGAATGTGTCACTGCCTCTTCGGTGACATGTTGGTAAATAGACTTTCGCAGAAGAAAAAGAAAAAGGAAGAGGAAGTCACATCTAGAAGACAGGGTTAGTTTCCTGGCCAGTAACCACCCTAGAGGGGCTTCCCAGGGGGCTCCAGTGGTAAAGAACTTGCCTGCCAGTGCAAAAGACGCAGGTGTGATCCCTGGGCCGGGAAGGTACCCTGGAGGAGGGCATGGCAACCCACTCCAGTATTCTTGCCTGGAGAATCCCGTAGACAGAGGAGCCTGGTGGGCTACAGTCCGTGGGGTCGTGAAGAGTCGGCCACAACTGAGCACACACACAAAACTACATTAGAACTCAGGGCCTGGCTCTCACCTCTAGAGAAAGGCAAGTCTTCAGCAACAGACGGAGAGGAATTAGAGCCATCTGGACATTGATTAAGACCCGATGCTTTGTACCGGTATTTCCGTTCCCCACCAAATGTGGATGTTGAACCTCTGTCTCTAACATGATGGAATTAGGAGGTGGGGCCTCCCGGAGGTGATTAGGCCACAAGGGTGGAGCTGGGTGAGGAGGTTAGTGCCCACACAGGAAGGGAGAGCAGAGAGCTGGCTTCTCTCCCTGCTCCACCACGTGAGGGTTCCTGGCGAAGGGAGCTGCCCACCAGCCGGGAAGCAGGCTCTCTCCAGATGTCAAATCTGCTGGAACCTTGATCTGGGGCTTCCCAGCCTCCAGAAATACACATTTGAAATGCGAGAAGTAAATGTTTATTGTTTTAGCCACCCGGTCTATGATATTTTTGTTACATCAGCCCAATATGAGATACCTGATTTTGATGGAAACTCAGAAATGAGTAGAGATTTGAAAGCATTTCAGTTGAATTTCACTAAAATCCAAGAACCAAACTGTATGAGACACTATTTTTCCTTTTTCCATTATTTCAACCACCTGAAATCATTCCCTTGGGCAATAAAGAAAAAAAATGTAGGAAGTCTGTTTAAAACACTTATCCTTTAAGCTAACTGACTTGAAAGGAGAATACCATACACTTTCAAGGATTATAACCAAATATAAAGCGGCCCTGCAGCTGGGTGTGGTCAGCCAGGCAGAAGTGATGCGAGGCATTTCTTGGGAGCACAGCCCTCCCTTGGTACCCGGGATCTGTAGGGGATTGGTATCAGGATTCCCTTAAGAGACTCAAATCCTCAGATACTCAAATCCCTCGCATATGATGGCTAAGAACAGTCGGCCCCCATATGGGCAGGTTTCACAGCCCTCTGGACACGGAGGGCTGACTGCATCCTAAGAGGAGAGGGGCAGGTGAGGCCCAGGCTGGGGAAGAGACCTGGATTGCATCTAACCTCTTCACTTCTGAGGGGAACCTGGCAGGGAGCTCAGCCCATCTGTGCCTCAACTTCCTCTTCTGTATAATGGACTGGCAGTGAAGGGGCTGGAAGCTGACTTTCTATGTTTTCTCTGGATCCCCCTCTTACTCCCAGCCCACCTTATGCTCTCCTGAAACCCCCTTGGGTCAGTATGTGCAGACTCAGCCCTCACCTACTAGACACCTCTGTCCAAGGCCAATGGCTCAGGGAAGCTCTCAAGACCAGGCCTGAACTAGCGCCTGCTCAGTCCTCTCTGGGCAGCTCTGTCTGGTTGGTTTTCTCTCTGTACCCCATGCCTGCCCTCTTCCCCCAAGGATGTGAGGTCCACGGGGGTGATGGGATGTTGGGTGAGGGGTGAGGAGATGATGCCCTGCCACCTGGAGTCTCACCTGGAGAGGGGCTGCAACCCCAAATGCTGCAGATGGCTGTTCAATGAATGAATCGCTCACAAATTTGAGTCACAAACTTAAAGTAAGCACAGCCCACCATCCAAACAAAATGAACAAATGTGAACTGAAGAAATACAACACCCTGGGTGTCTGCAACAGGTGTCACTGAGGCAGGACCCCAACTGCCTGGCTGCGGAACTCACCAGAGGCTTCTCGGCTGGGACTGGCTTCTGCGGCCGGAACCTGTGCGCACCATTCTCGTAGCCTCTTGGATACTGAGGGAATAAAGTTAATTAGATCAAATACTGAGTCAACAACCAGAAATGACAGCTATGCTCACTGCAGCACGGATACTGTCTCCATGAAAATGCTACCAAGGGAAAAATAAGGCAAATGTTTAAAACAAAACAAAGGCTACTCAGTTTATTCTCAAGACTCCAGACCCTCAAATAACAGAGGGTAAAAGTGAAATCCTTTCCTGAAGAATCATCCAAGACTGAAGAACATTGCCGTTGTTGTTCAGTCGCGAACTCATGTCCAACTCTTTGCAGCCCCACAGACTGCAGCACACCAGGCTCCTCTGTCCTCCACTATCTCCCAGAGTCTGTTCAAATTCACGTCCATCGAGTTGGTGATGCCATCCAACCATCTCACCCTCTGCAGCTCCCTTCTCCTTTCGCCCTCAATCTTTCCCAGCATCAGGATCTTTTCCAATGAGTTGGCTCTTCACATCAGGTGGCCAAAGTATTGGAGCTTCAGCATTAGTCTTTCCAATGAATATTCAAGATTGATTTCCTTTAGGACTGACTGGTTTGATCTCCTTGCAGTCCAAGCGACTCTCAAGAGTCTTCTGAAGCATCGTAATTTGGAAACATCAGTTCTTCGGCCATCAGCCTTCTTTATGATCCAATTCTCACGTCCATACATGACTACTGGAAAACCACAGCTTTGATTATTCAGACCTTTGTCGGCAAAGTGACAAGACCGAAGGATTAAAAAACGTAAAAATGCTGGTTAAGGCAATTTAACTTTTCTGAATGACTTTGACATTTTTAAGACTGAAAGGCCTTCAGAAATAATATAGGCCAATGTTTTTCTCTAACAAGTGAAAACAAAGAGACCTTCTTACACCTGCAGACAGAAGGAAGAAAACACCCTCCGCATAGACTTGTCGGACAAGATACAGTTCAACCACTGGGGTTATGGTGTGTGTGTGTGTGTGTGTGTGCATGCATGCACATGTGTGTGTGCATGTGTGTGTACAGTAAATATGTTTTAATTTCTCTTGGTTCTCAGGTAGCATCAGTGGTAAAGAATCCACCTGCAATGCAGGAGACCTGGGTTCTATCCCTGGGTCAGGAAGATCCCCTGGAGAAGGGAAAGGCTACCCTCTCCAGTATTCTTGGGCTTCCCTTGAGGCTCAGCTGGTAAAGAATCTGCCTGCAATGCGAGAGACCTGGGTTTGATCCCTGAGTTAGGAAGATCCCCTGGAGAAGGGAAAGGCTACCCACTCCAGTATTCTGGCCTGGAGAATTCCATGGACTGTACAGTCTATGGGGTCACAAAGAGTTGGCTACGACTGAGCGACTTTCACTTTCACTTTAGGTCTTTAATCCATTTAAATTTTGTGTATGGTATGAGGAAGTGTTCCAAATTCATTCTTTGAATGTGGCTCTCCAGCTGTCTCAGCACCATGTGTTAAAAAGACTATCTTTTTCCCATTGAATGGTCTTGGCACCTTTGTCGAAAAACAATTGACCACATATGTGAGGGTTTGTTTCTGGACTCAGTTCTAGTCTATCAATCTGTATGTCTAACCTTATGATAGTAACATAGACAGAGCCTTAATTAGAGCAGCTTTGTAGTAAGTTTTGAAACTGGGACGTGTGAGTCCAACTTTGTTCTTTTTCAAGATTCTTTTGGCTACTCTAGATTCCTTGAATTTTCACAAGAAGTCAAGGATAAATTTATCAATTTTTGCCAAGAAGCCAGCTGGGGTTTTGATATAGATTACACACAATCAGTAGGTCCATTTAGGGAAATACTGCCATCTTGACAATATTCACTGAGTCTTTCTGGCAGTGAATACAGGATGTATTTTCATTTTCTTAGGGCTTCAATCTCTTTCAACAATGTTTTATAATTTTCAATGTACCAGTCTTGTCCTTGGTTAAATTTATTCCTGAGTAGTTCATTCCTTTTGCTGTTGCTGTCAATAAAATTGCCTTCTTAATTTCATTTTTGGATTGTTCATTGCTAATGTATAGAAATACAACTGAATTTTATACACTGATTTTGTATCTTGCAACCTTGCTAATTTTTTAATTAGTTTGAATAGGTTTTTGGTGGATTCCTTGGGATTTCCTATAGACAATATCACACCGTCTACAAAGAGGCACTTTTGACTTATTCTTGTCCAACCTAGATAGCATATTTAAAAGCAGAGACATTACTTTGCCAACAAAGGTCCATCTAGTCAAGGCTACGGTTTTTCCAGTAGTCATGTATGGATGTGAGAGTTGGATGGTGAAGAAAACTGAGTGCCGAATAACTGATGCTTTTGAACTGTGGTGTTGGAGATGACTCTTGAGAGTCCCTTGGACTGCAAGGAGATCCAACCAGTCCATCCTAAAGGAGATCAGTCCTGGGTGTTCATTGGAAGGACTGATGCTGAAGCTGAAACTCCAATACTTTGGCCACCTCATGTGAAGAGTTGATTCATTGGAAAAGACCCTAATGCTGGGAAGGATTGGGGGCAGGATGAGAAGGGGACGACAGAGGATGAGAGAGCTGGATGGCATCACCAACTCGATGGACATTGTGAGGCTGCCAGGGCTAACATTATGACAGGCGGCCCGGACCTAAGTTTCGGTTTCCCCTGAAATGGTAACATTCCTTACCCCCATCAGGCCGCCTGGAGCCAGCCTATCAATATGCGCCCAGTAAGAAACAAAGGGAAAGCTGAAAAGCCCGCAAATGCCCAAGTTTGAAAAAAGCCCGCGGAAGTTTATACCAATAAAATTGCTTTGCAAACATGTAACAAATCCGCTTAAGCCAGCTACCAACCGCTTATGATCACCCTATAAATTTGGGTAACAGCCTGGGCTCGGGGCTCTCTGACCCTGCACCACTGCGTTGGAGGCGGCAGGAGCCCTGGCTCGAGTCAGTAATAAACTTCCCTTTTTGCGAGTTGCATTGTCTTGGAAACCTTCTCTCTTCCCGCTCGGGGATTTGGACATCGGGCAAAACAGACATGGGTTTGGGTGGACTCCGGGAGTTGGTGATGGGCAGGGAGGCCTGGCGTGCTGTGATTCATGGGGTCGCAAAGAGTTGGACACGACTGAGCGACCGAACTGAACTGAACTGTCCAATCTGCATGCCTCGAATTTCATTTTCTTGTTCAAATGCTCTGGCTAGAACTTGCTGTACATTAACTAGAAATGGCGAGAGCAGTCACCCTTGTTCTGTTCCTGATGTTACAGGGAAAATATCCCATCTTTCATCATGAAGTGTGATGTTAGCTGTGGATTTTCATAGATGCCCTTCATCTGGTTGAGGCAAGTCTCTTCTACGTCTAGTCTGCTGAGTGTTTCATCATTAAGGGATGCTGGATTTTGTTGAATGCTTTTTCTGCTTCTATTGAAATGACCCCAGTTTCTGTCCTTTATTCTATTGAGGTAAGTATTACATTAATTGATATTCAGGTGTTAAACCAGGTGTATACTGGAATAAATCCCATTGAATCATGTTGTTTACCCTTTTTATATGCTGTTGGATTAGTATTTTGTTAAGTTTTGCATCTACACTCATGAGAGAACTTGGTCTGCAGTTTTCTGTTCTTGTGATGTCTTGTCTTCTTATATTATAGGATAATATAGAATACATGGGGAGTGTTCTCTTTTATTTCTTTGGAAGAGTTTGTAAATAGCTGGTATTAATTGTTTGAGTGTTTGGTAGAATTCACCAGTGAAGTCATCTAGTCCTGGGGTTTTCTTTGTATTTATATTAAAACTTTTCATTAATAATTCAGTTTCTTTCCTTGTTATAGGTCTATTCAGATTCTCTCTCAAGTCAGTTCTGGCAATTTATATTTTTCTAGGAATTCTCCCATTTATTCTAAGCTATCTAACTTGTTAGTATACAGTTGGTCCATAGAATTCCTTTATACTTCTTCTTTCTATAAAGTTGGTAGTAACATCCCCTCTCTCATTTCAGATTTTGGTAATGTGAATCTTCTGTCTTTTTCCTGACCAGTCTAAAGGATTCTCCATTTATAGATCTTTTCAAAGAACCAACTTTTGACTTATGGTCAAAAAATGTTGCCTCCCAGTTTCAGTAAACAAAGGCTGTTGTTGCCACCAAGCCATCAGCCACTACAGCCCCCTTCTAAGATGTGCCTTGAGGGGTTTCAGGAAGATGAACAAGGATCCTAGCCATAGATAGCTAGGATATCTAGGATGCTTATCTAAGGAATAATTTCAGTGAGCCCAGCCTCCTGCATCTTACCATACAGATACATGCAATAAAGTCATTTACTTGAGATGTCTGGTTTTTTGTGATTAGCAATAATCTTTTGAAGTATGTGGCTTTTTTTTTTCCAGCAAAAACGCCTATCCATCCTGGCCCCTCCCTTACCTCTTTGGAACACTTCCTCAGAGCCACCGAGAGGCTTCAGTCCTCAGTGAGTTCTCTGAATAAAACATTACTCACAACTTACAGGTTGTGTTTTTTCTGTTGACAAATTTAATTGATTTTCTCTACAGTTTTTCTGTTCTTTTCTGTTGTTGTTTGTTTGTTTTTAATGAAAGAGTCCTTATGGGACTTCCCTGGTGTCCACTGGTTAAGAATCTGCCTTGCAATGCAGAGGACATAAGTTCAATCCCTGGTTGGGGAACTAAGATCCCACATGACAAGAAGCAACGTAGCCTGCAAGCCACAGCTTCTGAGACTGCATGACTCAAGAAGATTCTGCATGCTGCAACTAAAACTCAGAGCAGCCAAAGAAATAAATTAAAACTTAAAAAAAAAAGAATCCTTATATTTTATAAACATACACTGAAATAGTCAGAGACAAAATGTTATAATATGATGACCAGTATTTGAATACAAAATAGACCCTGGGGAGAAGGGGGGTCTTACAAGGGGTACTGATAACATGAGATGGGCAGGCAATGGGTACATGCACATCCATGATACTATTCTTTTTACTTTCTTATGTGTTTTAAAATTTCTTTAACAAAAACTTCAAAGAACTAGAAAAACAAAACTGCAAGCTGAAAAGAAGACCTTCAGATGTGAAATTCCCAGGACGGGGCTGTGCGCAGAAGCCAGCACCTGTGAAAGGCCTTGCAAATGCAGCTCTGCACAGAGCTCTGCTCATGATGAGGGGCGGGTGCGAAGGGACAGAGCAGATGGGGATGCGGCCAAGCTCAGCCCCAGCCCCTGGCCTCGGGGGCCCCTCGGGAAGCCCTCCCTTCCCCCCACCCATGGGTCTCTCCAGGGTGGTGGATCTGATGAAACGCCCTCAGAAATCAGTCCAGCCTCTCCCTCTGACCGAATCCCTCTGAGAGTTGGAAAGAGGAAGGGGAGCCCCGATTCCCCATGAGACCTGGGGAAGCTGGCACCCCAAGGGCTCCTTGAGCTGTCAGGGGGACTGAGCAGGGGAAATGACTCAGCTTCAGCCCAGGTCACGCACACAAGTGCAGGAACGCCTCCCGCACGGGGATGCTCTTCCGTAAGTCTGAGCTGTGTGCAAGGATGATTACACAAGAGGACAACGACGATCGCTCTCATTACAAGTAATCTTTTCCTAAAACTGCCAATATTTTGGCGGTGGGACTGGTGTGCACATTTGGTTACCCACTGACAGGACAGACAGGGTCAGCCTGGTAACAGTGGCCAGACATGGGCCTGGAAGACACGAGAAGCAGGGAGCATACCCTTACCATGGCCGGGGAGGAAGAGCAGGCAATGTCCTTTGGATCTGAAACACCAAACAGGAATAGGGTGAATCAGGGCTGGGTGCTTCCTCCGACACAAGAAATTAAACCAGAACAAGGCACCATCTGACACTTTTACTAAATTAGCAACCATTAAAAAAGAAGACAATGTGCAAGGCAGCATGTCTGGTGGGTGAGGGCAGAGGTTGGCCACCCCTGCACAAACCCACACGCACACACCCCTTCCCTCACTCAGGCCCCAAGACTGCCTGATCCCTGCGAACGAAGCGGGGAGAACAGGCATGCAGTGCCAGCAAACGCAGGTCATCATGAATCTGAAGCCTGCTTTGCAAAACGGAAAATAGTTTACAAACAAAAACAAGCAGAGCATACGTATACTGTGGAGACCAGCCTTGTCAGATACATTTAAAGGATAAGTGCCAGGAAGAAACAGAAAACATGACCAGTAGATCTGAGCAGTGGGACTCTGATAACATTTGGGATGAGTCATTTAATGTTATGGGATGAGTAAGAAGGAAAGATTAGTGGGCACAAAACGCCTATCTTGAAATAGAACAAAATGCCTTTTACTGAAATGCAAGGAGGTGTGAAATAAGTCATATTTCATACCAAGCAAAGAAAATTTAAACATGAAGACTTTCCTCTGCCCTTTGGAGACCTCTCCTCCTCACTGTGCATTCTGTGTCTGGATTAGGTATGGACCAGACTTTCCCATCGGGGCTTCCCTGGTGGCTCCGAGGTAAAAAATCTGTCTACAATGCAGGAGACTGAGCTTTGATCCTGGGTCGGGAAGATCCCCTGGAGGAGGGGATGGCAACCCACTCCGGTATTCTTGCCTGGAGAATCCCATGGACAGAGGACCCTGGTGGGCTGCAGTCCATGGGGTCACAGAGAGTCGGACACGTCTGAGCGACTGACACTTTCACTTTTCAAACCTTCCCATTGGCAGGAACGCCTACTCAGCCGGGAAGAACAACATTCTCCCGGCATCCACAGAATAGTCCTTAAAGATCACACCCCTTCTGGGTCTGGTCAGGGGTCACGGGACCCACCGCGATGCCGCTCAGACCTGGATTTGTAATCTGTCAATGACACGACATTTGGTGTACAGTCTTCTGTCTCAAAAACCTGATCTGTGTTCTGATTTCTAACTGGTGGAACAGTTCTCAGAGTGTTCTATGATGCTCTTCCCAGGTAATAATAGTCCTCAAATTTGGCTCAAGTAAAACTTTCCAATTCTTTCTTAGATCTACTGATTAATTTTTCGTCGATGGAGGGAAGGACATGAAAAGGAACAAAACCAGAAGCTATGCTTTTTTCATTTTCCTAATTTAAGATCATGTCCATGTGATCTGGGAACGAGAGCTGACCTTATTGCCCTGAGTAACTTTGGGAAGCAAACCCCACTTCTTGAGAATCCATAAAGCCAACAGCTCTGCTCCCTCCCCATCACCCGGAACCTGGGTCTCTTTATAAAAAGATGGTGAGACAGTTTCACTGCCTTGAAACACAAAGTGAGCCACAGGACTTTAAACTTCCCACAACGGAGTTCCCTCCTGCAAGACACAGAGGGGCACATGGTCTAGGGGTCCCCGGACCACATGCGATCCTGGGCTGCAGGCTCCTCTTGGCTCGCCCTCTGCTGAGGGGAGGCCCAGGGAGCCCTGGTGGGCCTGATGGCTCTGGGGATATGCACTGACATCAGCTCCCCTCAACCCTTGGCTTTCCCCCGCCCACATGCAAGCCCCTGGGGCAGTCCTGGTGGCTCATCCTTGTGGGCATGGCCAGTCCCCAGGATGTGTTTTTTCCTGGGCTTTCACCTGCAGGACATTGGCACATGTGACCCTTGGTGGGGTATGTCTGAGGGCACCTTCCCAGGCAGCCCTAGTGGGGCCGAGAACAGGGTGCCCACGGGGTCCTTGGGCCCAGCTCTGGGCAGGAAGGGCGAGCAGGGACGGCCTGTCCCTCACTGCTGGCCACAAGAAGGGGCACACCTCCAGCTTTGCCACCCACCCCAGAGTCAGGGATCCGGGACGATGAGGGGGCAGATATAAATCACCAAGATGCATGTGGACCTGATCTTTCCTCTCTGCAGGTGCTCTGCCCTTGGACACAGGATGTGCTTACAGCTGCCTCCTGTCATTCATACAAACGCCACTTCCTTGTTACGGGGAAGAATACAGTGCCGATCCCTTTGACAGAAAGGACCCCGCAGTCTTCTGTTCCGCTGCAGAGGACAGCCAGCAGCCTGTTAGCCTGACAGTGTCGGCAGTGGACTCGGCTCACAGGTGGCATCGGGACCAGGAGGAAAAGACTCATTTGTGAGGCCCTGGCTCGGGTGGAGCCTGCCCACCTGCTTCTCTCCTTGTTGTGACTCGTGGACATGGGGCCCTGGCGTCTGGGTCCCAGTGTTGAGGCGGGGCATGGTCAGGGAGCCACAGAAACGCCTCCTCCCACGAGGCTGGCTACAGGGGCTGTCCCAGGGTGAGGTGTCAGGGGCACAACCAACTGGCCTCCTGTCAAAGCCGTGTGCAGAAAGCAGCGGCTCGAGAGCTCGGTCTCAAGAGGAAGACGGTCAGTGGGAAGGTGGAGAAACACCAAGTCCATGAGCTAGGCCCTGAGGCCCTCGGCGGAGGCTAGGCGAGGCTGAGCAAGCAGCCGAGGGTGGTCTTCAGTGGTCTTCAGACAAGCACGGTCACTCCTGTGCAGAGAAGAGCTGCCCAAGGCAGAGAGCGCGGGATCGGGTGATGCTTGAGGGGAGGGGGGACCAGAGCGGGCAGAGACCCCTGCCCCAGCAGGGAGGAGCGCAGGGGAGGGGGCAGGTGTGGGGCAGAGGAGGAGGAGCAGTGAGAGGACATTTCTGGGGGCCTTGTGAGGAACGGGGACCAGGAACTCAATGGATGGTCTTGCACAACCTTAAACATATTTACCGGTAACGGTGAAAGGCTAAGACTGCATGTAAGGAGACCCCGCATCGACCAGACGAATGTGATGAAAGGAGGGGACTTCAGCCCCACAGCACCCTCCCCCCAGCCTGCAGCACTCCGAGACCCCTCTTCAGGGCCCACTGAGGGCCGCCTCCCCCCAGGCCAAGGAGGGGGGACATGAGTGCCTAGTGTGCCCCAAGTCAGTGTCAGTACCTCTCCCCACAACACCTTAGGGCCTTGGGGGACCTGGGAGGTGCCTTTCATCCCAGAGTGGGCCAGGGGCGGGGGTGGGAAGGGATGAAAAGCCCCTGGGTCACCTTGGAAACAGGAGGGAGGGTGAGAGGATGGTGCGTAGGTAGGAAAGTGCCTCTGGGAGAACCCCCTCCCCCAATCACTACCACAGGGACCCTCTCAGCATCGCCCAGCCCCTCAGAAACCACAGAAGCTGTGGCTCTGGGGAGGATGCTCTCATTTTATTACAAAAGATGAAATCAGGACTTCCTTGTTCCTGGAAATCCTGTCCCATCCTGGATGACTGAGCCCCGGCCAGGCCAGCAAACAAGCCCCGTCCACTGCCACATACTCCGTCCCTCATCACCTCGCCTCTTTCCCCCAGAACCACCCCTTTGTCAGTTAAGGAGGAGAACAAAAGCCACTGTGGACTCTGGGTGCTGGGCAGAAGGCACCGGGGCGCCCCCGTGAGTCACTGTCCAGGTGACGGAGTGGAAGGGGCCCCAGGAGAGTCCAGGGGAGCCGGCACCGGGTGCTGGGGACTCAGCCTGGAGGAAGACAGGTGACGTGGCGGCCTTTCCCGGAACTTCGGTGAAACGCAAGCTACAGTTAATTCCACAGGTCGGCAAGGAAGCCACCATTCCCACCCTCCCCCGCCCATAAGCTGTTTAACAATTCACTTGTTCGTTTGGGCCATTTTGAGATGCTGCTAAAAGCTTACTTAGCCCCTTGAGAAAATGGTGAAACTGGGAGGTGAGCAGCGCCCCTGCTGCTTGCATGTGGTGGGGGTGGGAGGCTAGGATTGGGTGGGTGGAGGCTAGGATTGGGTGGGGCAGGGCAGTAATTCCTCATCTAACTTTCTGGCCTCACTGACAGGACAGTGTTGGCCTGAGAGCCTCCTGTGTGCTCCACTAAATGGGTGGTTATTTTAAAAATGCAAAGCTTACCATTAGAAACAAGAAAAAAGAAGAAATTCCACATGCTTTAATCTTTTGGATGATGAAACTGCTCTGAATGCAAAGCTGAGGCTGCAATTAATGTTCCACAGGGATGAAGTCATTCGACTCCAGAGCATCTCTACCTGGGAGCTGACAGTGGGGCACTATCTAGCACCATATGATTTTATTTAGCTTTAAACCAAATTAAAGATGTAAACGCCAAATATAACTCATCAGAATAGCTTGTGGGATTAGAACACCCTGACATATAACAGCTAAAGCAGCCCCTGCTTCTCTATGGTTAGTGTAACTGTTAGGATCCTTGTCCTGCCAATCATAATTTTAAAAATTACTTTCAAATGCAGTTAAAATAGAAGTCTGGTATTGAGTCCAGGATGGAACAAAGGATTGGATTTTCTGGTAGAACATTCTTGTCTAATTAAGATACATGAGCTTAAGTCATGCCATGGTTTTAAAACATTGTCAAGGATATATCTTATCAGAGAGCAAACAACTGGCAAGGCACATTTCAGTTTGTGGCAGCAAGACTGGGGTGAGCGGGTACAGCCACATGGGCTGGGCCGTGAGCAACGTGGCAGGTGGAGGACGACCACGTATGCCTGATGCCGCAGAGCAGGGGAACAGGGCGGGAGGAGCTTCAACATCAGTTTACTCCAGAAATCAGAAAACAACAGAAAATCCAACCAGGCCAGGAGAACAACAGTTCATCAGGGAAGCCTGTACCTAAGAAGGAAGTCGGCCTGGCCTGGGAGAGCTGGGCAACCCCATGCCTGCCCGGGACGAAGCCACAACAGCCTCTTCTCCTAAACTTGTCCTCCAGAAGCCACCACCCACCCCGGGAAGAGGTCATCATCCATGGTACTTACGTTCGATGAGAAACAGAAAGCACAGGATCCCCATGGCAGCCACAATGGCCCCAGGCACGATGAAGGACAGGCCCCAGCACGTGGACACCCAGTAGCCAGCGATCAAGGAGCCCAGGATGTTGCCTACGGATGTGTGAGAGTTCCAGACTCCCATAATCAAACCTCGCCTGCAACACAGCAAGAGATAGCACGTGAGGTCTCAGGGATTCAGTGGGTCAGTACGTGAGCTCACAACAGTGCCTGCACAGTGTGTGAGCTGATGTAGAAATAAATGGGGCTTCCCAGGTGGCACAGTGGTAAAGAATCCACCTGCCAATGCAGGAGATGTAGGTTTGATTTCTGGGTCAGAAAGATCCCCTGGAGAAGGGAATGCCAACCCGCTCCAATATTCTTGCCTGGGAAATCCCATGGATAGAGGAGCCTGGAAGGCTACTGTCCATGAGGTCACAAAGAGTCAGACATGACTTAGCGACTGAGCACTCACGAAGAAATAAACAGGCAGTGCACACACCATCTCTGCAAGGCTCAGGACCGGGGTGTTTATGAGACAGCTGTATCTTCACTTACTCTGGCTGTATAATTATATCTCTCTTAGCTTATTCATTTTATGATTAAAAGAGGAAAGTGGCCTTTTCCTGAAATTCTTGGAAACCCTGAAATTTAAATTTGTGCCTTTGCAATCTAAATACAGGGCTTCCCTTGTGGCTCAGCTGGTAAAGAATCCACCTGCAATGTGGGAGACCTGGGTTCAGAAGATCCCAGGGTTGGGATCTTCCCTAAGTTGGGAAGATTCCCTAGAGAAGGGAAAGGCTACCCACTCCAGTGTTCTGGGATTCTCCAGTGTTCTGGCCTGGAGAAGTCCATGGGATTGCAAAGAGTTGGACATGACTGAGCAATTTTTACTTCACTTCACTTTACTTCCCCGGTGGTGCTAGTGGTAAAGAACCCGCTTGCAACGCAGGAGACATGAGACGTGGGTTAGATCCCTGCATGGCAAAGGTCCCCCGGAATCGGGCATGGCACCCCACTCCAGTATTTTCGCATGGAGAATCCCCACGGGCAGAGGAGCCTGGAGGGCTACAGTCCATGGGGTCACAAAGCATTGGACTCGACTGAGCAACTTAGCAAGCACGCAATCTGAATACAATCATCTGATGAAACATTTTGTTAACAAAAGTTCATGCTGATGAACCCGCCAGATGAACATGGCTAAATAAAGCTAGATGAGTGGGTTTCCTGTTTCAGCTTCCCTGTGTTGTCCAGTCACTTTCTAATCATGGTCCTGGCTGTGCTGTGTGTCACACGAACATCAGGATGGCCTCTGACTGCAGTCAGGTCCAGAAGTGAGTACAGCTCTCCCACCAGGTGCGGGGTGACCTTGACAGGACCTGCCAACACTTCCCTGTTCCTTCCAGTCTGTGAATATGCAGCTTCTGCTTCCCAAGGCCTGGGGCGAGGCCCTGACTGATTTCTTCCAGGTTCCCGGGAGGTCGGTAAAGCCCAGGGTGCTGATGGGCTTGTGAGGGTGACTCAGACTCTACCCCGCCCTCAACGAGGGGCATCTCCTGGGACCAAGGGGCATCTCCAAGGACCATCTGAATTTCAGACCCTCAAGTCCCAGAGGTTTCAAGCATCTTATCTCATAGAGTATACTAAGGTGATTTTTCTGTAATCGATCTGAAGAAAAACTAAAAATAAAGTGGTCTAGTTTTCATCAGAAGAATGAAAGCTGCTGGAAACAGGCTGCCTTCCTCACCTGCCTTTTCCAAACCAGTTCCCGAGGCAGGTGACAACGCTGGGCCAGCCGGTGGTCTGCACAAGTCCATTGATGATCTGCAACAGAGAGAAAAGGAGGAGACTGCTGAGGAGGACACGCACACTGAGGGAGCCCATGCCCAGGGCTTTGGGTGCACAGCAGGGACCCTCACAGGAAGAAGGGGCAGAAACCCATTCGACGGGAGCTTCAAAGACAAACGTGTATTTTAACTATATGTATGTGTGCTCAGGTGCTCAATCATGTCCGACTGTTTGTGACCTCATGGACTGTAGTCTGCCAGGCTCCTCTGTCCATGAGATTTCCCAGGCAAGAAAACTGGAGTGGGTTGCCATTTCCTACTCCAGGGGGTCTTCCCAACCCAGGAAATGAACTCAGCTCTCCTGCATTACAGGCACATTCTTTACCACTGAGCCACCAGGGAAGCCCTATATACATGTATATATATTGGAGAAGGAAATGACAACCCACTCTAGTATTCTTGCCTGGATAATCCCGTGGACAGAGGAGCCTGGTGGGCTACAGTCCATAGGGTTGCAAAGAGTCAGACATGACTGAGCAACTGAGCATACATGTATATACCTTATTATGAGAGTAATGAGTGTCTACTATGAAAATTTTAGAATAAGCAGAAAGAAGAAAGAAAAGAAAATCTCTTGCTGAGAGATGAACAGCTTGGGGCCAAGCTTTCCAGTGTCTTTCCAACCTAAAACTTTATAAAAAGAGAAAAACCTTCTCCATTTTATAGAACTGTGATGAAACCACAAATGTGGCTTATAAATTGCACATTCTCCCATCTTCTACCATCAAGAAGGTACGGTTGCTAAGGCTCCACTGAAATGAGCATAACCTTGACCTGGCAAATGGAGAAACATTTTCCACTTGCCAAGAGCGCCCTGAGTTTTTGTTGGAAGAAGGGACTTAAGAAGTGTATCGGCAGCTGGCTTTGCTTTCCTCTCAGTGGCCTCAGGGGCAGCTTTAGGAGGCAACATGAAGCAAGGTCCAACCTCCAGTCTCCTCCAGCCTCCGTAGGGAAGGACCGGCCTCCAGGAGGCGGCCTGGGAGCCACTGGTCTGGCCTCGGGGACCACCAGGGTCAGCCTTCCCTCCAGGAACATACTGTGACTCTGGGGAATTCTAATTTTCTGTATTACTATAAAGTGTGCATCACTTTGGTAAAAAAACAGCTGAACTCTTTGAAGTCCTGTGGTGAAAGTTGTAAGAGCAAATTACATATAATTTGCCCCATGATCTTAGAACATCCTCCTGGGCTCTCTGGAGAGCCTCAGAAGTTGAGCATCATTGCTTTGAGTCCTTTTCCATGTCTGGTCAATATTATCCACAGGGCTGCTGGCAGGGGCAGAGCTGAGCGTTCCAGGCAGCACTGGGCCTGTTAGAAGGGGCCGGCCGTAGGCCTGTCTGGCCCTTGATCCCCTGCAGCTCTGTCAGGCCCTCACTTTTCATCCCTACTGACTGCCCCCTCAACCCTCTCCTCTTCTTGCCACACCCACATCCCCCAACTCTGGAGCACTCAAATCTGTGACAGGACAGAGCATCTCAAACACATCCAAATGAAGGCAGAAGGACTCATGAGGCTTCATGCTCCAATCCCCCTGCTGGGGTAAAAACAAATAGGATTCTTTAAGTGGCAACTCCTGACACTAAGAAACACTTCGTGGCTGCTGGCATCTCAGAGCAGAGGTAAGAAAAGGGGCCGTGTGGTCCAGTGCTGACCCTGACTTCAGACAGGACACAGCTCTGCCCCCTCTCCCATCCTCTGCCGTCTTCTCTCTTGGCAGAGGTGACATGAACACCCCATCCAGCTCATGGTGGAAACCAACATGTGGTGAGCCATGGACCAGACCTCACCTGAGTTATCACGTAGAACCCGAAACTGTGGATGTTGTAGAAGTATCCTACCCCAAACAGGGCAGTAAAGGCACCGCTGGCCAGCATTCCGAAGGTTAGGTAATACCGGATGGGAAGGCGTTCCCCTATTATGCCACTGAGGATGGAGAAAAAAGAAAGACAAACATGAGAAAATAAACACACCCATAACATAAATGACCCAGCCGTGGCTTTCCGGATGCTTTCATGCTGTTCTCTGAGCTTTTAGAATGTGAAAGCACTCCAGTTTCCAGGAAATTTAAATCACAATTATTTCTCAATGGAGCGTTTATTCAACAGAAATCAACGACATCCTTTAAGACTTTCTATTTAGAGTAGAAGTCACTGTCAAATAATAAAATTGAAACAGACAGAAAGGATGCCTGCCAGTGGAAAAAACCAAAAAACTTGTCCTACTGGCTTAATCCTGTTTTATATAAAAGCAATAGCCAGGGAATATATAGTGTTTTAAAGTTCCAACTGTTGGATTGTAGACAGGTGGCAGGAAAAGGGACCACCTGTGACCTTGAGCAAGTTTCTTGACCCTCTGGCTGGCAGCGAGCCCATGCGTGAGCAGTGAAAGGGGCTCTGCAGGTGACCGTCCTGCCTCAGCTACCACGATCTGCTTTAAAGACCCACAGAGCCTTTTCTTTAAGGCAAAGCCTGAAACACGGGGGCAGAGCCTCCATGCTCCCTCTAAACAACAGGATGACTCAATAAAGAGCTAATCTTTCCGGAGAACTGCTTCCTAGAGCTGCCTAGGTGCGCAGACAAGTAAATTTGGTTAAGCACCTGGCAGGTGGTGGGTATGTAATAAAATAGCTCTGGTGCTCCTGGGGAGGGTGAAAGTTTCCAGTTTCATACCAGGGAATATACATTTAACAGGTTTTTACCACCATCATACCACGCTGCCCGATGCCATAGGAAACACTCTTTATTACTGCCCTGTAGGAAATGTCACCATGGGACGGCCTGATGTTGTGACTTATTAAGTGAATAAAAAAGCTGGAGAACAATCATTAACGATTATGAGCCTTTTGCACTCAACCCTATGGGTCTCATTTTCCTCCACGCAATCATTCTATGAGTCAGATAAATATGAAACGTAATGAAGAGTGACACCTGCCTGCCCTGGGAACAAACTCCAAAATTCTGGTCTTTCATCTCAAGAACCAATACCCTAGAGAGCTTTTCCTTCTGAACTTACCAAAAAAAAAAAAAAAAAGATCTACCCAGTATCATGTAAGTGACCTTTTAAACAGGAAAACAGAGGAAGTGATTTAAAATTATAAACAGCATTCAGGTCAAATTTCAAGCTGAGTAGAAACCTGATCACGTACAAACTCGAGAGCACCCTACAGCTAATGGAATTATCTACTTCATCTTGCTCACTTCAGAGAAGAGGGGACAGGTCCCCAGGGTGGGGGTGGGGGACTGGCTGAGGTGTCCAAGGTCACAGAGCAAGTTCAGAGTCAGATGGGCCTGCAGAGAGTTACTGCTATCGCTGGGCTTTCAAACGTCCTCCAGTCTTGCTAGACAATACTGAGCCTCAATTTGGTCTCTGTTTAAAAGTATTTAAAAGAAAAGACCTAACAGAAGGGGCAGCATTCCATATTTTATCAGGCTCCTACAGGTAATGAAAGCCACAGTACCCCTGCTTGAAGCTGCCAGCATCGAGCTGGGTCAATGCAGGTGCCATTGTGTCTGATTTATCTATTAAACCAGCACCGTCCACATCACTAGCCATGTGACGTGGGGTCACTGAAAGGCCACACAAGGAAGCAGGTACACCCTTGAGTCACGAGTCTACTGTGAATTTCACATTAGGTCATTATGAAATAAATAGCAGTATTTCATAATAAAGTAACATTATTTCATAATAGCCTTTGTTGGCGAAGTGCATGAAGAACCATCTTTGCCAATAAATAAGCAATGATAAAGCCACTTTATTTAAACCAGGCTTCTAAGCCTCAGCACCCCTGGCACCTTGGGTGGGTAATTCTTTGTGGCCAGGGGCTGTCCTGGGTCCTGCCCCACACATAGCGGCATCCGGGTCTCTGCCACTGGATGCCAGCAGCGCCCCCCTTCTCCAGCTGAGAAAACCAGCAGTGGCTCCAGATGCTGCGGACTGTCTCCCAGGAGACAGTCACTCCCAGCTGAGAACCACATTTAAACACTGTTTTCCAGTAACAGAAAAACACACTCAACCTTTCGGTCTTTTTATATGATTGATTATTGGTGTCCGGGAAAACTGTAGTCTGTAGATCATAAACATTTGACCCCAGGGTAGGATATGGCTTGTTGGCTGGTTACAGTCGAGGCCCTCAGAAGCCTGAGGCTTACCCCGTCCTTCTCTGAGGTTGGGCTCACGTTCTGTCCTGCGTCTGCTATTGTTTGAGCCGCGCTCAGACACGCCCTGCTGCTCTACAGATGTGCAAGTTCAACATGGGGTTTCAGCAGAAACTGCCTGTCTGGGCACCAGACACCCAGCCACCCACAGGGTCCTGAGCTGGGGGGGTGGGGCCCAGGGCTGGATAATAACACAGTCCGGGTGGGTCTCAGCAAAGAAGGTAAAGATCTATAGGGAAACCAGAGATCCTCAAAGCTCTAAAATCTCTCTCTCTGAACAAAAGTCTCTTTGGACTAATGGCCTTGGTCCCTATAAACCTTTTTTTTTTTTTATTAAACCTGGTTGGACTGACACAATAACCATTTTTAATTGGCCAATCACATATCCTATACCCGCTAACATCTATCACCTTCTTAGGCCACTTCAGAACTGGATCAAGAATGGGGTAATGATGATCATATGTAGCAGATGCCGGGAACACAGACGGGCCCTCTTCTGAGCATCCTACATATACTAACTTATTTAACTCTCATCACACCCCTGTGAGTTAAGAACTACTGGTTCCCCAGTTTTGTAAAGGGTAAACTGAGGCCCGAGGAGGTGCAGTGACTTGTCCAAAGCCTCCTGAACGAGTAGTCAAGCCGGGATCGAATTCCAGCAACGTGTCCCTGGAGTTCACACCCTCAACTGCCAGGCAGGACGGCCTCTGGCAGGCAGGGGAGGCGCTGGTCTGGCTGAGCTGGGCATCCAGTGGACATGCCAGGCACACCCCGTGTGAACTGCTCTCACGCCAGGCAGGTTAGTAACCAGATGACAGCCCCTGAAAGCAAGAGGACACGGTGCTCTGCCGGGCTTGCGGAGTGGGGAGCTGCCAGCACCCTGCTCCAGAGTGACCAGGTCCCTGCAGGACTCACCCGTGCATCGAACCCCGGGCCAGGAGAAGCCATCTGGGGACAGTCTGCCTGGTCAGCAGGACGCCTGGGGTGTGCACTGGCTCCCACCTCGCCTCACCTCTGAGAAGAGACGAGAGGACCACTACCTATGGACCGGGCCGCATCTTCAGCGTGCCTGAGCCTCGCTCTGCACCCAGCGGACCAGCTGGGTCTCGCGGCCCCAGCCAGACCTACCTCAGGTACATGCCGACGGCGTACGCGCACAAGAAGGAGTAGTCCAGGGCTCCGAGCAGCTGCTGATAGTTGTCCTCATCTACACGGGAGATCAGTGGGAGAGGGAGAGTGTTGCTTAGCCTTTCATTAAATGTCAGCGGACGTCCAGGAGAGGGGCAGTGAAATACTGACTTCTGCTTGCTAGGGCTGGTGGTGTCCTCAGATGGTAACACAGAAAAGGCAGCAATGGGAAATAAAGTTGCCATGTGGCAAATTATTGCTACATAAATATCCTCCCATCAGGTCAACTCCCAATCGCTGGGGTGACCCTGCAGTTTATTCGTTTTGTTTCACGTTACCCTGGCTTTGCTTCAGCACCACCACCCTCCGGTCCTGCCCCGGCCAGCCCCATAGCACAGCTTTCTTGTTTCCGCCCACAGCTTATGCCCTGTCAGTCCTGACTTCCAGCTTTGACAAATGCAACCTGCAAATGACCTTCAGTAGTGCATGCATGCTAAGTTGCTTTAGTTGTGTCCGACTCTTGGTGACCCTATGGACCTATGGACCCTATGGACAGACAGACTTCTCTGCCCATGGGATTCTCCAGGCAAGAAAGAATACTGGAGTGGGTAGCCAAGCCTCCTCCAGGGGATCTTCCCAACCCAGGGATTGAAACCATATCTCATTATGTCTCCTGCTTTGCCGGAAGGTTCTTTACCACTAGCGCCACCTGGGAAGCCCGACCTTCAGTAGATCTAATCACTAACCCAGCGTTCCCCAACCTTTTGGGTACCTGGGACTGGTTTAATGGAATATAATTTCCCCATGTACCAGGATGGGGGAATGGTTTCAGGATGACTCAAGCGCATTATATTTATTGTGCCCTTTATCTCTATTATTATTATATCAGCTCCACCTCTGATCACCAGGCAGTAGATCCTGGGGGTTGGAAATCTCTGCACTAAGGGACAACCCTGCACATGGGCACTGGAGACACAGCAGCAGCTGAAGGCGGGAGGCTGGTTTACTGGGACGAGGGACCAGTTTGCAACTGGAGGCGTGGCTGCATCTATCCAAGGGCATCGTTACCGCTGCTAAGATCAGCCGGGCCAGGGGAGCCAGGCCAGCCAGCCAGCTCTGGGGTCTCCACCTGTTGAGGAAGCCTTTGGGGTGAGCACGGGGGCCGGGGTGGGGCCTGGGGAACAGATGGAGAACTCACCAAACGGGGCCCAGCCACAGTTGGTCCCATTGTCTGGGAGCTGGTGAGCAGGGGCATCTCTGACTTTTTGGCTCTGGCTGCTGATTCCGACTTTCCCATCATTTGAAGCCGTGCAGTAGCTGTGCAATTCACCCTGGAACACCCATGGGGTGGACAGAAGCCAGAGAGAGAGAGAGAGAGAACTCAGTGGGGTTCAGGGGTGTAGCGTGGGGACAGCCATCCTAGGTGACTGTGTTCTCAGGGGATAAGGCACCCCTGGGGCAGTGTCTCTGCAGGACCCACTGCATGTCTGCTGATGAGGACCTTTCCCAAGCTCCCCAGCGCCCAACCCCTCCTGAGCACAGACACGGCCAGCATAGCCCGTATGGCCACCCAGAGACCACCGCTCAGAGCAGCCGGGCCGCACCCAGGACCACGTGCCCAAAACAGATGCATGGATCCATCTTGCTGTATTTATATCACTGAAACAAGTTTCAGGTCCACATGAGGCTGAATCTCAAAATAAGCCTGACACAGACGAGCACGCTGGGAGGGCTCTGCTCACGAGCTCAGGAGGAGGGAAGAGAATTCAGGTGACACTGAGAGGATCGTGGTCACTTAGAGACGGCGGGGTGATGATGGGGGCCAGGCACACGGAGCCCTCGAGAGCTGGACAGGGGCCAGACCTCGACCTGGGGGATGACTTCTGGGTGAGCATATAATATTTGTCAGGCCAGACACCGAGGTCTGTGGACTTTACTTTGTGCAAACTGTATCTCAAAAACATGCCTAAAACCAGCTCAGGGTGCTCCTTAGGGAGGAACACGCATGTTCAGAAAAGTGCTGTATGGCAGCCCGGGCCATCGTGGTATGCGGACCTGAAACAGGTGACTTGTTCCTTGAAACACGAGGAGTGGCAGACAGGACTCCACGCATCTGCCAGGCAGCCTGGGGATCACACAGCAGGTCCCTCCCCAGGTGGCCCCCGGCTCTCACTTCTTTCCTGCTATGGGCTTTCTGGGGCTTTTGCTACACGTGGCTCAGATGAACCAATCAGTCGGGCATGAGTGAGGGTAGAAGGGAGGTGTCCTCAAGGCCAGAGCGGTGGCTCTCAGGGGGAGCAGAGGTCCTGAAGGGGCCAGGCCTGGGGAGATGTCAGGAAGAGGGCCCCGGCAGGGGCATCTACCCCGGGGTCAAGACACACGGCAGCAGGACTGCAGCAGGCTGGACCCCAGTCCACCAGGTGGGGGCAGCCAGGAGGCCGGTCCACCACCTCTGCTTCGTGGACACCCTACCTCTTCAGAAGGGAGTCACCAAAGAGGCTGATGTCCTTTAAAAGGCCGCCTGGCCAGGGCCGTGGTTAGCCAGAGCGGACACCTCCTGACTTTACACGGACACACACCCCTGAGACCTGGCCTGGCACACAGGACCCAGCGACTCTGGTCACATGGCTTTGTCGTCATCACTGGGCTGTCCTGTTATAATATAAACATGGCCCTAAAACCAGCCAAGGTTTTGCTTTCCAAACAAAAGGTAACACTCAGCAAAGAGCTTTCCTTAGCTGAGCTCATCCTCCCCGTAGTGGGGGTGGGGCACCATCACCTTAGGGTCCTCGGGCCCCCTTGGGCCACTTGAGAAACTGGGGGCGTGACTGTGAACTTAGGACAGGGCCTGGAGAGCTTACAGCCCTGCCTTTCTCCGTGAAGTTGGATTTCAGCACCTCCCCACCCACCTGATATAAGCATCTTCTGTCTTTGCCCTCAGGAGCTGGGTGTGTCTGCCCACCTTCCTCTGATGCTTCTCTCTGAAGCCAGAAGCCATCAGGGCCAGGCCCACAGATGCCACCGCTGGTCTATTCACCTTTCACTGAAGGAGCCCCAGGCAGGACGCAAGGACCCTGTAGGCTGTGTGTGTTGAGGGGGGGAGAACCTGTGAGCAAGGCTGGCGTGGGGTTCCTAACACCCACCTCTCACGGAAGTCTGCGAAGAGGACCACTGTAGACGCAGCTCCCACTGCAGGTCCACACTCTCTTTCACCATCCACAGGGGATGGAAAGGATTAGAAAACACCCATTTTTGTTTCATCAACAAGCAGGAGAGGGTTCCTGTTTTGATTTGGTGTTGCTGGTCAGGGGCATAACCTCTGAGCCGGGATCTGGGTGCCGCTGTTCCGGCTTCCAGCCTCGGCCGAGTCACAGGAGGTGAAATCCCACCATCTGTTATGGAGCCAGCACAGTGCAGCCCACCCCAGCACTGCTGGAAAGGTGAACAGGTGGAGGTGTGTGTGGAGAGCTCCTCCCAGGGTGCTCGGTCCTCAGAATCACTCAGAAACGGGCTGAGCTGTGAGTTTGGGATCCACCGCACTGAGGCACCCTGACGCCTCCAGCTGCCCCTCCTCTCATTCGGCTCCCTTCTCCCCAGGCTCCTTCACGTGAGAAATGCAATCTCCATCCCACCCCATGGAAAGGCTGCAGCAAAAGCAAGAAAAGATTGAAGATTACTTGAGTATAATGAGTTCCGAGGATATTTCTGAAACTTGGTGTTTGCAGGAAGATAAGGATTAATAAAACTAAGATTATCTTAGTTTGTAAAAACAAAACAAACTCACCAGGGGAACTGATTCTTACCATATTATCAAATCACTTGGGTGGAGGGGGGGAGCTAGTCTTGTGTTTTAATAAAGGCAGTCTCTTTTGCAAATTTTTTACACACAAAATTAATCAAAACACAGCAGGCAGTTATTAAAAGTCAATCAATCAGAAGACAATGTGGCAACCAAGAAATAAGAGTTGTGAGATGCCACGGGAGGAGGAGCAGAATGGAATGTTCTTGGTACTAGGGGCTCGTGACTGTTTAGTAAAAGTCTGTGTGATACACAATGGAACGGGAACAGCAAAATAAACCACAAAACGAAATGAACTGCCACAGTGATTGGCAGGTGGGGGGTGGGGAGCAAGAGAAGACATGTTATCAATATGATGGAAGGAGGCAGAGAACAGCCATGACATCACAAAGCACTTCGTGTGGGGGAGGGGCAGGGACAAGCGTGGGTGACATGCACTGGCCCATCAGCCATTTAGGCATAATTGTCTTTTATATAAATGTACATTAATGAAGACTCTGTGCTCTAAACTCTGAACTTGAGTAACTACACCCTGAGAAACTGTTTGCTCATTCATTCCAGAAACATGGGTTTGCTCTTGGGTTCTCTGACCAAGGCCTCCTTGAAGCTGCTCATTCTATGGAGGAGATAACCCAGGGGGAATTAGGAAGGGGTCCAGAAGATGCTGACAGGTGACAATGGGGTGGAGGGGTGGCAGGAATCAAGCAGGGGACTAGGGCCTCATCAGGGAGATGGGGTGGTGTCAGCTTCATTCCACCTTTGGCTCACACGTGGGGTTTAGTATGTGTGAGCACACAGATGCATGCATGTGCACATACAAGTGTGTACATAATTTATACTGAGTGCATATGTTTAGAAAACTTTCTAGAGTTCATTAGGTTGTGTGGGTCCATTTATTTTAACTAGTCCTTCACGCTCCTTTTATAAAGATCTGGGTTAAGAGAACTCTTGGAAGCATTATCCAAAAGCAGTCCTAGAAGAAAAGTGAAAGTTCTGGTGCCCGCTCTGCTCTGAGTATTGGTGTCTTTCCAAATTCACAGGTTGAAACCTAACCCCTGAGGTGATGGTGTCAGGAGGGGAGGCCTGTAGGAGGTGATTAAGTCATGAGGGTGGAGCCCTCTTAAATGGGGTTAGTGCCCTTTTAAAGGAATCCCATGCTACTCTAGCATGGAAACATGTACATTACCCTACGTAAAATAGATGACCAGTGGGAATTTGTTGTATGACTCATGGAGCTCAAACCAGTGCTCTGTGACAACCTAGAGGGGTGGGATATTGGAGGTGGGAGGGAGGTTCAAGAGGGAGGGAACATGTGTCTGATTCATGTTGATATAGGCAGAACCAACAAAATACTGTAAAGAAGTTATCTTTCAACTAAAAATAAATAAGATTAAAAAAAGAAAAAAGGACCCCAGAGCGCTCTGCAGCCTTCCAGCATATGAAGCTACGAGGTGGCTGTCTGCTGGCTGGAAGAAAGTGACGATGCTGGCACCATGACTGGGGAAGTCCAGACTCCAGGACCATGAGCAAGAAACGCCTGCAGTTTACAGCCGTCAGTCTGTGGGGTTTTGTTACAGCAGCAAGAGTGGACGGGATGTGCTCAGAGCAGGGAGAACAGACACGCGGTGCCCACTTTACAACGGCACCTGGGGGTGGTCAGCTTATCTGTGTCACAGATGCCATATGAAAACACACCTGCATATGCAGACACATGCCCACTTACACAGGTGTTCAGAAATACACAGGGAGGCCTTGGCATCACTGTCTATTTTCTAATGGGATCATTCTTCATGGACTTGTGTACATTTTCACTCTTCTTACTCAAAAATACCTCTAAGGAATTTTTCTGCATCAACTGATTTTGCTCTAATTAACTTTTAAAGTAGTTGTACATATCGGAATATGAAGTTACTATAATGTATTCAAACTTTCATCTGCTGATTAAGTTCACATAACAGCCAGGGTTTTTCCTACCCTCTTTATACCTTTTTTTTTTTTGCCAATAAAGCTACAATAAAGATGCTTATTCCTAAGTGCTTTTATTTTTATCGACAAAGTTCCCAGAAGCAGGAACTGAAGGACAAGCATTGTTAATGTCAACAGGTGTTACGCAGACACTTTCCAAAAGGTTGCAAACCCTTCACATCTCACAAGGGCTGTCACTGTCTTGTATGCTTTGCCCATTAGTGGGTGTAAAGTGATGCACTGTTACTTGAACTTGCACTTGTAAATATCAGCAAGCTTGCACACAGTTAGTACGGCTCCTGAAACTCAGATCCCTTGTCTGTGAACTGCCTCCTCAACCCCTCCATTCATCATGGCTTTGGGTGTCCCCACGTTATACCCCTAAAACGGACGTGATCTTGTTCTTGGATTTGCAGTTTTTATTTTTCACATTTAAACCTTTAATTCATCCATCTATTTTATATGGTAGAGGTTCAATATTATGAAGCTTCCAGATGAATCCCCCTTATTAGTTGAATTCTCCTTTCCCATCACCTCTGTCACCATGCTACTGTGTTTCTATGGTATTTTCTATCCCACTGACCTCCTTGTTTGTTTTCAGGCAATACCATAATAATTTGATCACAGTGGCTTAAAAATGTTATCTTTTTCACACTTCGGTCATTAATTCTTGGACATTCTTTTCATACTGGAGTGGGCTGCTGTGCCTCCTCCAGGGGATCCTCTCACCCCAGAGCTCGAACCCGAGTCTCTTCCATCCCCTGTACTGGCAGGCAAGTTCTTTACCACCAGTGCCACCTGGGAAGCCCATATAAACTCTAAGATTATTTAATTCAATTAACAAAGACACTGCTGAGACTTTCACTGGAGTTGCATCCTATTTAAATACAAACACTAGGAAGAATGGAACTTTCCAGATAGCAAGTTTCCCTCCAAAGCCAAGGTGTGCACTTCCAGTCCCTCAGGCTTTGTTTTCTGTCCGTCTCTGGACTTCAGAGCTTTCTTTCCCTGCTCCCGTGTGTGCAGAGACAGCTGAACATTCACACTCAGATTGGTCAGTGTCACCGCCCCCCTGGAGAACCTGGATCCCAGCAGCTCTCCGGAGAACCCCCTGCTTTCAGGCTTTTGTTCTGGCCCAGCCCAGGGCAGAGGGCGGCAGGGAAGAGTCCCTCACAGAGCATCCCTGCAGCCTCCAGGTAGGAGGCAGGGCTAGATCTAGAGCAGCTGAAAAAAGAACGAGGTTGTAACCCCGCCTCCTCCCAGACCTGTTTTCATCTTTATCACTTATTTTTCCTTTTTGCTGTCTACTAAAATCAGAGAAAATGAATGATATCAGCAGTAAGTCTAAACAGAGTAGCCTCATGCTGACATGACATGTCAGGTTACTATAAATGACATGAAAGGATGTGAATCACTATAAAATTCACCACCCCTGGTGATTAATTCTAGGGAAGCAAATATATTTTTATTCATTCATAATGTGTTAATAAATATGGGTGAGAGATAATTCAAACTGTCCCGTGGGTCAACAGGATCATTACTATTTCTAGATTTATAAATAAGATGAGCTAAGTCAGGCACGTGAAAGCCTTGTAAGGCATTATAAAGGAAGGTTTCACATGTAGTGGGACATGTCATCCATCTCAGAAGACCAAGAAGCCCCTGGGTTCTGACTAGGCTAATCCACAGCCAGGCGCACTGAAGGTGTTAAGTCAGACCATCTGTGTGTTGAGGAAAACCTGGGAGTGACGCTGGGAATGTACTCAAGTATTGGCTCCCACATTGCAGACAGACGCTTTACCGTCTGAGCCACCGGGGAAACCCTAAACCTCCCCTCGAGGCCCTGAAATCCTGAATGCTCACTGGAAGGACTGATGCTGAAAGGGAAGCTCCAATCCTTTGGCCACCTGATGGGAAGAGCTGACTCATTGGAAAAGACCCTGATGCTGGGAAAGATTGAAGGCAGGAGGAGAAGGGGGCGACAGAGGATGAGATGGTTGGACCCACTCAATCGACATGAGTTTGAGCAAGTTCCAGGAGATGGTGAAGGACAGGGAAGCCTGGCATGCTGCAGTCCATGGGGTCGCAAAAGTCAGGCAAAACTGAGCAACTGGGCAACAGAGACCCTGAGCCAGCGAAGTTAAGAGCAGGGACCCTGAAGTCAGCCAACACCCATGGAATTCACCTGGCGTGGCCCCAGCCTTCATGGAGGAATTAGGCTCCAGAGCCTCAGTTTCCTCAAAGGGACACTCTCAGGACAACTGTGATGATGATATTAAACAAGGGGCGTGTGCACCTGGTCAGGCTGGGGGCTCAGGCAGTGGTCGTTACTGTGACTGATGAAAACGCAACTAAGCTGCTCACAGGACCGCCTCATCATTAAGCCCCAAGCCCCTATCAGGGATGCCAGGAGAGCGGCCTGGAACAATCCCTCCCTGGCTACATGGGGATGTGCGTGACCATCAGAAGGAGACCCTCCGGTATCCAGCCCACCTGTAGGCTACCCCAGTCCCGACACAGGCCCTTCGCCTGTCACTGCTGCTGCAGGGTGACAGCTAGCACGTCGGGCGCTGGCCCCAGGATCCAAACCCAACCTTTTGGGATGGATCCTGAACCTCAGGAAAGCTCCAGACCTCTCTAGCTCCTTCTCTAGCTCTAGACCTCCTCTAGCTCACAGCACTCACTAAGGCCCCTTCAACCGTCTCTCCCATTTTCATAACTTGCCTTTTTCTTGAGTCATATGTTAATTTCTCTAACCAGGAAGACAGGAAGGAGTTGTATTTAAGTTTCCAGGGGCGGTTGGTCCTTGGTACTGGTTTTAGAGATGCTGGTAGAGTGGATAAAGGCCCACCATCTCTTGCCCTGTCCCTTTCTCTCTTTTGAAAGCCACATTTTAAGGTCTGCAAACATTTCCATAGTTATTAAAACTTGGCATATCAAAAAAAGGGAGAATATTAAAAGTGACTTGAAGGGCTGGGGAAATTCCTGCTTACTAGAGCTCAAGGAGGGACTGCAGAATCCTTGGGGTGGACAGACTATGTTTCGCATCCCGTGGGAATTGTTAGAGAGCAGGGAGCACAGAACCGTCCAGAGAAGCACCAGCCTTGGCGCTGCCACTGGCCTGAAGACCACGAGGGCAGCTGTCCAGCCCTCAGGCCCCTGGGGAAGCAGAGGATGCATGACCACAAAGGGCAGAGGAATTACAGTCCTGGCCCAGCGCCCCTGCCAGTGAGGAGAAACTGGGGGTGCGGGGCAGGGAGGGCTGCGCAGTGGAGGGGGCAGTCGAGCTGTAAATGAACTATATTTGGCCCTGGATGAGTTCCTCCTCCTTCTATAATGAAGAGTAAAAAGTAATTCAAGCCTGCTGACAGTCTGCAGGCAAAATGATGTCATTCCAATTCCTGCTTTTCCCCCAAGTTATAACTGGCTATTATGTAGGAATGTCTACTTTAATCTCCTTTTCTTCAAGTCGAGTTAAATGCCTGCTTAATAACTCCTGCCCACCCATCATTCACCAAGAAACCCAGTGTTCTAAGAATAATGGAGAAGCAGAACCACTGTCAGACATAGAATGAAAACCTAATGACTGCAGAAGCAATTTGGGGAGCAATTTTAGATCAGATATATTTGGAGAGAAAATTCATATAAGACAGAATAGATATTTAACTAAGATCTAGAATTCTGGAACGGTCAATGAATATAACTGAAAATATACTACCCCTGAAATTATAAATCCTAAAACCATTTTAGAGATTTTAAATTCAGGAAAAAGAGAAACCAAAAAGCAGAGCAGCGGAAGAGCTTGCTTCTCCAACAATCCATTTTCTCCATTTATCTCATGACTCTCTCCCACACTCCCCTCCCCCACAAGTGGCTCTTAAAGTAACTTGCTCCTTATAGAGATTACAGGCAGGAAATGAACCGAGTGCTTTGAATGGTTTCTTACCTTAACTATGCTGATAGGCTTTCGAGATAAGTGAAAACTTGCATACAGCAAAAATGTCAAAATAAAAATGAAGGCTCTGTACCTGAAACACAAAACAGTGGCAGGGATGACATAAAATAAGATAAGATGCCATGTGATACAGCAGTCCCACTCCTGGGCATATGCCTAGACAAAAACAGAATTCACAAAGGTCCATGCACCCCTATGTTCGCAGCAGCACTAGTCACAATAATCAAGACATGGAAACAACCTAAACATCCATAGACAGATGAATGGATAAAGAAGGTGTGGTGTGTGTACACACACACACACACACACACACACACACACACAGTGGAATATTACTCAACCATTAAAAAGAAGGAAATGATGCCATTTGCAGCAACACAGACGGACCTAGAGATATCCTACAAAGCAAAATAGGTCAGAAAGAGAAAGACAAATACACATGATATCACTTATACGTGGAATCTAAAATATGACACAAATGAGCTTATCTACAAAATGCAGACAGATTCACAGACACAGAGAACAGACCTGTGGTTGCCATGGCAGTAACCACAAGGGGGAGAGATAGAGTGGGGGCTTGGGATTACCAGATACAAACCATTACATACAGAATGGATAAACAACAACGTCCTACTGTATAGCACAGGGAACTATATTTAATATCCCATGATAAACCATAAAGGATAAGAATATGAAAATGAACATAAATATGTATCATGAACGTATATCACTTTGCTGTACAGAAATTAAATGCAACATTGTAAATCAACTATACTTAAAAAGATGCATTAAGAATACATTGCAACTGTATTCTTAAATTTCCTTATGCTGTATGCTATTTATTCAGTCCTATATTAAAGATGAATCCTACATATCATATCACTACAATAGTATATTTAAACCATGTGTCACTTTTACTTTGTAAATTGAAATTAAACATTCATGGGAAAAACTAATCAAAGAGGAATCTAGGACCCAGATGTACACATGTGTTTAAAAAGCAGACCAAAAAGAAAAAAAGATTATTTAGTTTGTAACAAAATTAACTGCAAGTGACTTACAAGCCTGCTATCCTGGGCATTTAAGATCTTTTTTTTTTTTTTTTACTTTTTAGCTTCTCTGCAACTTTTTAGCAGGACACAAGAAATAAAGAAATATAAATATTTCACTGACCTCAGTGAGAACAACTCAGTGATGCCAACAAGCTATGAATAAGGTCAATGACATAAAAACTATTGGCCGAAAGCCCTGGTTTACGAGAAAAGCAGCTTGAGAGGAAGTGCTGAGCTGTATGGAGCGACAGACAAGATGCTCTAGCAAGAAGATGAAAGTTTATTCTAGTCTGAACGTTTGAACCATGCTATAGAAAAACAACCCTTCAGGGAAGAAAACAGGTCAGGAGGAAAAAGTCCTTGGCAAGAGATGACAAGGGGCTCCAGCCAGGAAGGCAGGCCCTCTACGTCTTGAGGCCCAGCCCCCAGCCCTGAAGAATCCATCCTGTGCTGTTCTGGAAATGCCAATGAACTTCAAAACCCATGCAGGCTTCACTTGGTCGTTACCCAAGGTGAAGGCGGGGGCCACAGAACCCAGAGGGGCCCCCTCTCTCTTTCTCTGCAGGGGAGCCACAACCCCAGGAGGGCGGCTCATTCTAAGGCCCTCGATATGGAAGGACCATTGGGAGAAGTGGGTGGCAGAGGAAGAGATGGTTGGATAGCATCACTGACTCAATAGACATGAATCTGAGTAAACTCTGGGAGACTGGCATGCTGCAGTCCATGGGGTCTCAAAGAGTCATGACTTAGCTACTGAAAAACAACTTCCTCCTATCTCTACCCACATTTCCAGTGTCGTGATTTAGTTCTCAAGGCCAGCTTCCTATACTAACATAAAGACTCCTAGGGCTATCTGCCTCTCTGGCCGCCAGAAAAATAAGTGAAGTTGCTCAGTCATATCTGAGACTTCACAACCCCATGGACTATAGCCTGCCAGGCTCCTCTGTCCATGGGATTCTCCAGGCAAGAACACTGGAGTGGGTTGCCATTTCCTTCTCCATGGGATTTTCCCGATCCAGGGATCAAACCCGGGTCTCTTTACCCGGTTTGCAGGCAGACTCTTTACCATCTGAATAACCAGGGAAGCCCTGACTCCAGAAAAGTTAGGAGTTGAATATTTCCACATTAAAAAAAAAAAGTCATATTTCAGATGGGGAAAAAAGACTTGGTAGTACAATAGGACTCAAAACTTCAACCTCTGGAACACCTGTGCTCATCGAGTATGCAGCACACTGACTTGCCAGCTATTCAATAAACACTTGTAAAATGAATGCCCCCAGGCTCTATTCTTCAGCAAGGAAATGCTTGCTGCTGAGTTTCCTAGGATTCTTTGCTCTTCAAGTCCCTGTCAATGAGCAGATAGGAAAAATGTGCAACTATAACAAAATGACCTTGTCATCTACCCCAGAGAACACAGACTGCAAGTTCAGTGGATTTGTGACCAAAGTCCAGCCTTTGTCTTTGTGTTTCTGAAAGTTGTCATCCTGGTAGGGAGTGGGGGGCTTTCACTTCTTTGCTGGTAGCTCTCCATGATCCCACCCACTGCTCCTCTGTGCTAACTTAGGAAGGTTCTGGACCACTGGAACTGTCAACACTTGACTCTCCAACCCATAGCTAGATCCATTGGTCACTCAGATGACCACTTGCTAGGGCTGGTGTAGGCTGGGGGCGACCCTGATTAGAGCTCCCTTTTCTCACCTCCATAAGGAGTAAGAAAACGTTCTCAGACTGAGTCACCTCCAGCCCCTCCCGAACCAGAGTCTGAGAGAAAGATCTGGAGCCCTCAGGGATGCTATGAAGCACCAGCTTCCAGGTGTGCGACCCACCAGGAGAGTCTCACAATCACCTGGCCCAGAAGGATGTGGAGAGAGCAGCTCTCCTTAAATGGGCCTTGGGCTCAGGTTTGCCACTCTCTACCCAGAACTTTCCACTTATAAACATTCTAGTTTTATTAAGAATGTTTAAAATATACATATTATTATTAAAATATATTTAATATATCAGAAATAGAGAGTTTGTCTTGTGTCCAGGTCTGAAGAGCCCTGGGGCCCTAATACACCTGCATTCATATCTAGGCTGTCTCAGCTGTACCGGTTATTGAAAACTAGCCAGTCATCCGGGCCCCTGCTTCCTTCTCCAGGGTTCCTGCTTCCTTCTCCAGGGTCCCTGCCTCCTTCTCTGAGGCCCCTGCCTCCTTCTCTGGGGCCCTACCTCCTTCCCTGGGACCTCTTTCTCCTTCTCTGGGGCCCCTTCCTCCTTCTCCAGGGCCCCTGTCTCCTTCTCTAGGGCCCCTGCCTCCTTCTCTGGGACCTTTGCCTCCTTCTCTAGGGGCCCTGCCTCCTTCTCTGGGGCCTCTGCTCCTTCCCTGGACCCCTGCCTCCTTCCCTGGGACCCCTGCTCCCTTCTCTGGGACCCCTGCCTCCTTCTCTAGGGCCCCTGCCTCCTTCTCTGGGACCCTTGCCTCCTTCTCTAGGGCCCCTGCCTCCTTCTCTAGGGCCCCTGCCTCCTTCTCTGGGACCCCTGCCTCCTTCTCTAGGGCCCCTGCCTCCTTCTCTGGGACCCCTGCCTCCTTCTCTGGGGCCCCTGCCTCCTTCTCTGGGACCCCTGCCTCCTTCTCTGGGACCCCTGCCTCCTTCTCTGGGATCCCTGCCTCCTTCTCTAGGGCCCCTGCCTCCTTCTCTAGGGCCCCTGTCTCCTTCTCTGGGACCCCTGTCTCCTTCTCTGGGACCCCTGCCTCCTTCTCTAGGGCCCCTGCCTCCTTCTCTAGAGTCCCTGCCTCTTTGTTGGGGCCCCTGCCTCCTTCTCTCATGGGTGGTTCTGCAAGTGAAGCTTACTTGCACAGAGCCTGCAGGGTGGATGGAGTTCCCAGGACTGCCCCATGCATGGTGATGTGGGCCGGAGCACAGTCATCGGGGACTACAGAGTGGAGAACTTGCCTCTGGATGTTTTCAGTTCAGTTTTGTGTGGAAGTGAAACAGCCTAACACATCAGCCCCTCTGGGAAGAGCACAAGCCGTGCCTGCCATGCTAAGTCGCTTCAGTCATGTCCGACTTTGCAACCCCATGGACTGTAGCCTGCCAGGCTCCTCTGTCCATGGGATTCTCCAGGCAACAATACAGGAGTGGGTTGCCATGCCCTCCTCCAGGGGGTCTTCCCGACCCAGAGATTGAATCCGAGTCTCTTATGTCTCCTGCACTAGCAAGTGGGTTCTTTACCACTAGCGCCACCTGGGAAGCCCCAAGAGTACCAGAAGGTGAAAGTGAGAGCCCCTCAGTCATGTATGACCCTTTGTGACCCCATGGATTGTAGTGTGTCAGGCTCCTCTGTCCATGGAATTCTCCAGGCCAGAATACTGGCCTGGAGAATTAGTGGGTAGCCAGCCATTCCCTCCTCCAGGGGATCTTCCCAACCCAGGGATGGAACCCAGGTCTCCCGCATTGCAGGCGGTTTCTTTACCACCTGAGGTGGCCCAATATTGTCTAGGAAGATCAGGGGATGTTTGTAAGCCCGGCCGATAGCGCTAGCTCTTAGGAGGCCCATCAGGCTCTGCCACTTGCTCCGTAACCTTAGCAGGGTACTCGGAGAAGAATCAGGGCAAAGGTCAACTTACACTGCACACCAGGCGTCTCCTAGAGACAGAATATGTGTCTCCTGAAGAGGAACCCCTATCGTTTATTTAGAAACCATCAGGTCAACTCTATTCCCTCCGTTTCCAAGTCTATCCTTCCTCTTTCTGCATCTTCTTATGTAGAACTCTGGGAAGATGGGAAAGGCCGGCCACTAGAGGCTGAGTTTTCCCTTCCAGAAGGTCTGAACATGGCCTCACTGATCACTTTTAAATCACAGCAGCTATGCTGTGGGGCTGGTACCTTCCTAGCGGCCATGGCAGCACCCTTGTCCTGGAAGGTAAGCAGACTTCTCACTTCTGGGGTTATCCTGGATTATGGGGATGAAAGGCCTAAACAGCCCTCTTGAAGTTCTTTCCCATTTTGTAATTCTATCCTCACCTACTTTCTTCTTT